TAAGTCGTAAAATCCTTGCACCATCATCACTAGTTTGAAATTGAAATGTCATTTTAACTCAAGTCCAGGCTTACCACAAGGTTCAAAACCGCAGAAAGTGTGTAATGAATGTTAGAAATACCAAACTTTCAAGAGTCCTTGTTGCTCAGATTAAAACAATTCTTAATCTGGGTGTTATCACCTAGATGTTGAAATTTAAGCCTCTGGTGTCCCAGCCCCTTTTCAACACAAATTGATAGAAAAATTAGCGAAGTTTGTCAACTACTCGGGGGGATGGCCTGAGCTTTGACCAGACTATCCAGCTTTGTCTTACACAATTATAATCTTAGCGTTATCACCTGGACCAAGATAAGAGCCCCTCAACCTGCTTATGTGAAACAGGTATGTTTGGGTCTGTCTGGGGGCTGGAGCCAGCGTGGGGATGGAGGTGTGAGGAGCGCAAACAAGCTTGAGCACGAGGAACCCGCGATGGCGTCAACGGGGAAATTTACAAACTGGATTTAATAGTGGTCCTATTGATGTAATGGCAAGATATCGGGGGCTGTATAAATCGGGGACATTCTCCCTCTCTTCATTTCATTGGACTGGGAATAAAAGATATGTTTTTAAAACTTCCACCCAAGGTATTTACTTTGGTTGTCTGGGTTTTATCTGGAAAAAGGTTGAAAGGGGGGAAATGGGAAAGATTGTCACTAAATGACCCTAGTGACAAGCAGTGTTATCTGTGCAGTTGATCACTTTGTAGACTGGAGTTGTTCGCTGGGTTTTGTATGCCACCCATAGACCTCATTTCAAAAGATCAGATTAAACACAGAACTTTATCAAAGAAATCTCCTAGCTTTCTATTTTTCTCCTTTACTGAAAAGCCGGTCATTTCTTGGGCTCTGACTGTAAAGAGAGCCCTAGAGGTAGACACAAAAAGCCGACTGAATCCCAAAGGAGGGATATTGACTCTTAGTGGACTCCATTGTCAAAACATTTGTACAGGCCTTCCAGTTGAATTGACTCGTAAATAATGCTTGGTTAGACATTTCACTGATGATTTACCCCGTTTAGGTATTAGTCGTGGATTTTTTCATAGTGTCCGTTTAAAGCATCGTGATTGCAGTGATGCCACGTAATGAAAAAAAGTGATCATGTGAAACACTCCGCTAATCACCTCTCATTTTTCTCAGTCTCTTTACATAATATTTGATATCTGACCATAAGTGATTTATAGTTATGGTATTGGGCTCCACGATTGGTGTGGAAAAATATTTATTTCAGTCTGGAATTCCATAAACTGTCAAAAGACCAAATGCTCATCTCTCAATTTCGAAAACCAGTAATAATTTATAGGGCATTAGTTTATATGGTCATCAGATTGGTCAGAATTTATTGATTATGGTTTATAGGTTTATAGACAGGAAATTGACATTCAATTTATGTTTGTTAAATTAAGAGTATTTACCCTTGTCAAGAGGGATAGCGGCCATAAGCTGTTTTTGTTAGTATTAGGATTACACTGATATGCTTTCATGGCGGGTGTATTTACTAAACAATAGGAGTTCTAGAGCTGTATTTATTTATTTAGTATGAATAATAAGTCAGAGGTAAAGAGGTATTCATTAAGAATGAGTGCAGAAAGATGGACCAGAAATGACTGTAGTATATTTCTGACAGGCAAGGTTAAAATTTAGTACATTTCATGGAATTATAATTCCTGTGTCTTAAAAAAGCTTTCTTGACATTTTCCTTTCCATTAATGCTTGCTTAATTGATTCAAACACACATCTAATTAAATCAGATTTTGTTTTCATATTTACGTGAAGATTATAAAAAATACAAGGAAATATACAGAATCATGCATTATTGCGTAAGGTTTAGAGGAGCAATCTTCTTGTCTATTTTTTATGTAGTAGGTAAAAATATCTATATGTCCCCTATAACTGTCAGAATTCATATTGACCATCTTTTCAATCAAGCTTTCCTTGGAATGTTGGAATGTCGAATGATTTGCAGCAATAACTTGTTTCCGGAATTCCAAGACGGGGAATGATGCCACAGCCTCCATAAAATATTGCATGTTGGGTAAACGTAACATCAAGTTATGCTCTTTTCTGATAGGTTTGGTGTGATTTCATCAGGTTTTTGACGAATTCTTTTTGACAAAGCGTGGCATTATTCACTGCTCATCATGCATTTCTATCTCCATCAGGGTATTAACAATTGTTTTTCGTCATTCTTCCGATGAGTTCTGCCTTCAAGGCCTATACAAGAATTCCCTCTTAAATACTTCATGATTGCAGCCAGTGATCTTTATATTCTCCAGGGATTATGTTTTGTTTTTTCTGGGGGCCATTAACAGAAGCTAAGATTTTTTTCTCCCCCTGTTTCCTTTGATAAGAAAGCATACATTAAAGTTGTCTAACACATTATTTAAGAGAGCAAGACATTGCAGCCCGAGCTGACTTTATTTCACTTGTTATATTGATTGTGCCGTGTACATTTTAACAAGGAAAATCGCAAATGGGAATTGTCAGGGGGAAAGATTACATTTTAGTGGGAAACAGGGAGGAACACAAGTTTATCAGTTACTAATATGTACTCCTCCCATTACTCGGTGTCTCAATTATATACAGAAAAATGTCCAGGATTATGACATGTTTGATAGATCACAATTTTATTTGTAGCATTAGTAGGCAACACCTTGAAAATCTCTTAGTTCATTATTGGGGGTTTTGATTGCTGGCAGTTTGAATGTATACCAACTTACATTCCTACACATCAGGTCATGGCTATCAAAATTCGATCAAGAGAGAGAGAGGTAGAGAGAGAGAGGGAGAGCACTGAGTGTCTTGTTGTAACATTATGTTCCTTAGATTGTTGGATTAAGAGAACATGAAAACATCATTACTAAAAAACTTCAGATCAAAGTTACATAAAGCCGTACCATGGAGGGAATAGATCCTGTACTTAAACGTGTAGGACCTTGTAAAACTTCTTGTCGAGATTCTAATCAAATCCACTGCAATTTAACAGAGTAATCTCTTCTTAAATCATTTTGTCTTTTTGAACCCATCCAAGGTAATAAATCATTTCTTTGTATAAAAAAAGCTCAGTATTATTAGATGATATTACATGAGCAGGCATGGATGGTTGGTTGTGCCAGTGGTAAGGGATTTTGTGCTCTGCGAGCGTGCAGTTCTTACGACCTGAGACTTTAATATACTTGGCTCCACACTGACCAGAGTATAGCCTTTATTGTGGGGATTGCTTTGAAAATACGGATTTGGTCGATGTAAGAACTTAAACAAACAGTGAAGAGAATTGTGAGATAAATCTTTGAGGAAATGAGTTTTCCTAATGCACCCACTACTTTTTGGGCTGGGTAAAAAAATGTTTGAAAAGCTCTAGCCTTTGGCTATGAGAGGGGAACAGTTAATAGAATGTTTATCTTTGGGGAGGTGTGATTTTGATCCTACGATCAGTTAGAGAGAAGAATCAAATTTTCAGATAACAAAAAAATCATGATAGAAAAAAGGAAAAAATGGGAATTCCATAGTCAATTTTTTTTTCAATTGCAGCAAAAATCATTGATTTATCATCAAAGTTTTGTAATGCAAGCTAGTTAGAGATAAAATTGTCAATTTTCAAGAGAGAAAATTTGGCATATATTACCTGTAATTTGTATAAAACGTAATCCAAACTCTCACTGATACAGAACGTGGTCGTCCATGTAAACAAATGGCTGGAGTGAGCAGGGGATGTTTGTGTTGATTCGCGAAGCTTTAATCTCCATCTGAGGGACACCCTTGTGGGAGTCTCGTAGTTTACTTAATTTAAATAGATTCTAGAGCACACACTTAAAAAAATCCTAAATGCACACCATATCAGTAAAATCTGAGGGAATAATACAAAATATCAGGCTATAATGTTTTTTAAAAATGAAGAAAAATCGTCTTATCTTTTAAGACATTTGTCTGAATTATGGAGTGTAGAAGTCGTGGTATTTAAAGTATTTTTTACACACACCTGATGTAGATTGATTATTGTTCTGTCAGAGAGAATGCTAAATAAAGTGATGTAATGGTGACTGTACAAAAATACATCAGTCCATGTCAACAAAAAGAACAAAGACCATGAAATAAATCTGATAAAATTTATAATGGGGAAAATTAATACTTCTATCAATTTTGATACCAAGTATTCATTGATTTAAAGAATTTCAGTAATTGACCTCTCTGTCTATATATTTAAGACATTTATTGTTAACATGGAAAGGTTAAAGCATCTTATAGAAACTCTGTATTGGATAAATTAATTATATTACCTAGAGATAATAGGGAGGATCCAAGAGGAGCTAGTGGAATATAAAATGTTCTTGAAAGTTTTTCACTTTTATTTTACGTAACAATATGAGTGATAGAGAGAGGGTGTTTTTTGGAAATCCAGTGGGATGAAAAACTTTGTTTAGGATTAACTCAGGAATAGTATTTCACCAACACATGTTTGGAAAATCTATTTCCCTTATGGATTTTATTTCCCAATTTGTGCCAGCTGGCATGAGAAGACAGACTTAAAAGCTTAAATTTTTATTTCCTATTAGTCACTGTTTACAGAAAGTTACAAAAAGTGTTTGATTTTCAATGTATCATGTTATGTAATGAATGCCCACTCTGACAGATGTAAGAGTCCCCCCATTAGTGTCCTCCAAACCTCTGAATGCTGGTCTGTACTCACCAGGGATAGTTTTACTGGCAATCAACAAATACAGTTCCTGTTTGATGAATGTCATTTAATATCCAATTTCTTGAAGGAACATGACTTGTTATGTAAATTTGCCTCTTATGAGATCAATAAATGATATTACTTCATCTCTGGAAACCCTCAAGTGTGGAGACAATTTCCCTATCCATGCTTTAATGAATTATAACACCATAATTACTGGACCAGAGGTTATGTCATTGAGTTTGATTGCTTTAATAATCTGACAGAAATTTTCCTTTGGTGTTTTTCAGGAAATTTGTGGACCAATGTTTCGGACCGTTCTCGGCCGGTCTGGTGGCGACAGGGGTCTATGCTCGTCTGAGGAAGGAGACACAGTCATTACAGAAAGATCTGATGGTGAAAGTGAGGGAGTAAGTCAGGTCAAGGTCATCCAAGGTCAAAGTTCACTCATAATGTTACTGTTTGCTTAGTAACAGATAGATACCAGAGCAAAATTTCATTTGTGAATTATGAAATAAATGTAAAACATTAAATTTGAAGTTCATTTTGAAATCAGACTTTTTGAGCATCATGCCTTCCTTTTGATGTTTTTTTGGAATTGACAATAACAGTCAGTGTATGATATGCATTAGTTTAAGTTAAACATATGCCTTTGACAAGTTTCATGATAAAAAATATTTTCCAAATGTTATTCTGTTTCCTTTGATTGATATTAATGATTCAAAATGAACTTAAAGTCCACAATATCTGTCAAAATTAAGGTGGAAATACCGAGGGCTTCAGGGGGAATTGAACATTTCTTCTGTAAACAGAGAAGTATTACCACACACAAACTGTGATTAAAACATACAGCATGAGTGAAATTAATATTGATGGATGCGATATCATAAAAAAATATTGCATAACATATTTTCTGGGAATTATGTAAGATTGAATGTGTCTTTATGACTTTTTATCAGGAGAGAAGGCAAGCTATATACAGGGTTAATGTCCAACAACAGCGACAAGATAAAATTGCCGGAGAGAGAACTCAAGGTATAGTGGCTCGAAAACGATGGAGTCAACAGATTTTATATCAAATAAATCACAGAGAAAATTAGATTGAAAACAGTCAGGTCCAATTATTTGAAGTGCAAAGTGATTAGATTGATGGAGAAAGACCTTCAGTCTCCCAAAAAAACAACTGAAAAAAAGTAACCCAACATTCACAAAAAGTGTTAGGAATCAATAGAGATTTCACGTAGGTTTTGTTTGTACTGTAAATTAAAAAAAAAGAAAAGAAAGGAAAAATCATGATGTTTTTCAGTGCATTGAACTGTCAGTAGTTCATAACAGAAGTGTAAACACCAGACATGATTCAGTAATTATTCAGTGCAAAACTATACATTTTATTAGGATATATGAAATTTGACACCTTGGGGGCTAATGAAAGAAAACAGTCTTCAAATGGAGATAGCAAGGGATAGCATATATATAGCATATAGCATATAGAGTCACCTTACATATTTTGAAATATTGTCAGAATATTGTTTTTACAAAATTAAGAAAATATATTTATTTTAAATATGAGGTCTAGCCTTGCAGAATTTATTCTCAATTTCACATTCCCGTTTTTCAACAGTTATTATTTATTGAATACACATATAACTGCATGTACTTTAAAGTTAATTAAATATTAAAAGGTATATTTTTTCTTACAAGAAAGTTTGCTTGTACAGGTTAATCAAATGTTCAGGAAATTGACACCTACTTCATTTGTTGATTAATGGAGTTTTAATCCATCAATGCAAAGTAAGAAATCCCATTAAACGCAATCTAATTTCCTTAAAGATGATTTAGAAATGAGCAAAATAGTAAAGTCTAATTTAAAGTATGCTGGTACTGAATGGTTTATCAGATCTTACTAATGCAATTGCCTAAAATATCTTTTCAATATACTGTAAGAAATATTGAAAATTAAATGCATTCGTTTTTCTTGAGTAAAATAAAAAAGAATTCTGGAGCCATCTCATTCTTTGGCTTAGGAATTTTAGGAAAAGGTTCATTTCTTATCATAGAAAAAATGCATTAAGAATTGAAAAACGCATTAAGAATTGAAAATTATTACAATAAAAAGGGCTCCACTGTTACATTCCATGTATATTGCTGAAATTGATATTTAGTTACCTAATATCTCTCTAACACAGGTAACACAAAAAACAAACAACAGGTATTTAGCAGGATCAAAAGGGGTCAAAGTACCAGGGGTCATAACACATACCTAATTAAAGTGGTAGATTTATGAACATGCTCGTCATTATAAAGAAATAGAGAAGACAGAATGATGGAATGGTGAAAGATTTACACAATGTTATCAGTCTTTATAAACAAATGTTTTCTACTGTATGTCCTGTGTGTATGACTTATTTATAATCTTAACTTTTACCTTGGGACTATATAAGTATGATTTAGTGGGGTCCTTTTTATGTTATTGTATAATGTACCAAAGAACAAGTTTATTGTTGCTTTATGAAGCCATTTCCCACTTTGTTATTAACCCTAACACCTGAGGTGATAAAGCTTAAATAAAACTTGTCAGCAGGGATGAGTTACAATGCCAGTTCATCAGCGATAGTGTTGCACTCAGTAATTTCGTTAATTTTCTTAATTGTTTAGTAGCTATATACTGGTCATAGACCAAAAGAGAACATGGCTTAATTGGTCAGACCTCCTGTTAGCTATACCTATGTGAAACAAAACCTTGTACAAATGTAGACTTCATCAAAATACTTATGAAATGTTTTCTTTAAATGAACAGTTTTGGCCTGCACTTAAATTAAATATATTCTTTTTATAAAAAGAGTAAACAATATACAGCAAATATAAGAGAATTAAAAAACAGGAATACATTACTTCAGAAATGTTTTAATATATGTTGTTCCTTTCCTTTTTTTTTGAAGGACATGACATTTTTATAAAGATCTTGAAGCAATTAAGAGAAATATATTTTTCATTTTGTTTTATATATTTATTGCAGATAACCATTCTACAAGGTGCAAAATTATTAGAGAAGTTTTATGTAGAGAGGGTCTTGCCTAAGATGAGTATGACTGAAGAGGAATTCTGGGAAAGGAAGATGTTAGAATACAGAGATTGGAGAGGTAAACATCCAAAAGGAAGAAATCAGACAAACAAAACAGAACTAGATAAAACTTTTTGTCAAATTCATCCCATTCTGTGCTTAACACAACTTCCTATACGAAAGTGAAGGATAGAGATGATTAAAATGTTGAGTTTATCAAAACATTGTGCAATATGCAAAGTAAATTGTGAAATCATGGTAGCTAGCCTTTCAATTTACATCAGATTTTTCAAAAACCAAATATTATGTGACTGTAGGAACGGTGAGGGGGTGGGGGGATGTCCAAATAAATTTGCCAATATTTAATCTAAAGAAAAGAAAAATATTTTATAAATGTATCCAAGAAAGAAATACCTATCAAGAAGTTTTTACCGGTACTTGGTAGTATCCACCCAAACTGAAAATGTTTGGTTGTGACCTTCCGGAAATTGCTTCCTTTCGGCCTATAACATAAAGCAAAAGAGATCAATGGACAGATCTTATAACAACCTTTTTAGATGACAGAAGAAAGATATATATTAATAATCAGAATTTATTACACCCTAAGCTGCAAATTAACAATTCCTTTGAAATTGAATATTTCAACATTTAATGCACTTTATGATGGTATATTTGCATTAGTAATATTTAACCTTTTGTTCCAAATAATTATCTTTTTTTGGGTTGTGATAAATGATAACTGTCATGGAAATTGATACAGTTACGTCAAAAGAAAAAAGATAAATTTATGCACATATCATTTTTTGAAATTTTCTTAAAAGACTAAAGGAAGTGCACTGCATATTTACAGTTATTAAAATAAGAATGGAATCCTATTCTGAAAAAGTGAGAGAAAAAAAAATCAGACAGATGTTTTCTGTTAAGTAAGCGACCACCATGGAATATGTAAAAAAAAAATCAAAACATCACGGTATACACAAGCTCATGACAAGCCAGCTTAAATAGTACATGTATACTTTAAAAAAGACATAATTTTCATGGTATGCGGGCAGAAAAAAAATGATATGATGGGGCATTTATGATGATCCCTTTTCAGAATTTTTTCTTTTGAAATTAATTTTTATGAAAATATTAATATTGTTTTATTAGCAGAAGTGTCAAGACCATTCTTAGTAGTCCAAGCAAATATGGTAATGCTTTGGTTCTTGAGTGAAAGAAAAGGAAATATTTTAGATGTGATGTAATGTGGATGATTTGTGGTTTTTGAAAAGACCAACATTTTTTGGGGCATTGTCACGCACCATATAAACACCCTGTAAATATGACACGATCAATTACCATATATCTTCCTAACTGGTTTTAGAACGACAACATTTATGAATCTCTCATTCGATTCTCATTTTTTCACAAACATGTGTTTGTCATGTACATATTTCAAATCTTTAAAGAACTTGGTCTACAAAAGACAAAAGTTTTCTTGTTTTCTGTTACAACACTCAGCTATTACGTTGGGTGATGGTGAATGTTGGACCCTGGTCGTACTTTCATTTTAATGAGAAAAACATGTACTTTTGATCTCCTTTTCAAATGTTCCTCCATGTTATGAGGAAAATAAAATGGAAATAAAACTTTTGTCACAGGAAGAACATAAATGTTGCTTACATCTTTTTTTTCATGTTTTTTTTTTTCTAGGTCTTGTGAGTAAGAAATTTTCCGAAATTTTTTCAAAGGCATTTTTGATTCCTTTGGATGAGTCAGACAATTTCTTCAGACTGGAGGTTAGTCTGCAATAAACTACATTCAAGTGCACCAAAAATATTACATTTATTACCAATTTATGTCCAGTGAAATGTTTTATTCAAAGGGAAGAGACAATTCTTGTAAAGGAAAAAATCTAGCTGCTGGAAGAAGTAAAATTTAGAATGGTCATACAAAAGATAACATAGTCATTGCACATTTATTGAGCAATGGACATTAAAATAACATTTTTGAATGTTTCATATGCACAGTGCATTATGCATGTGCATTTTAACAGTATTTTTAGGTGACATTATTACAGAAATGTGTCTATATATCTTTTACTAGGTAAATCATCTGAATCTGGGTCGTTATACCAGCATGTTGAGTAGTGGTAACTATAGAGATGACCTTGACCTAGTGACAGAAATTCACTCTCCTAATGGTATGTTGAAAACTTTTTGATGTTATAATTTATCATTACTTACATCAGAATAATAAACATATTTTACTGGATCAGAAATTCTATTAACAACACTCTTCAATTGCATTAATAGCCAAAATTCAACAAAACATATATATTTTATTTTGTTCTCTGTCAAATTTGATTCATATTTTTGATGATTGGAAATCTGATTTTCAGCAATGCCCTTTGGTAAATGTTAGTATAATTGAAAGTTTATGATGATTTTTTTGGTTTATAAACTAACATTCTCTGATTCATAAATGGAGCATTATCTCTTTTTCCCTCTAATGTTAGAACATGATCTTGCACAGTTACCTTTGTATGTAAAATTTATCTCATCAGTCTCTGATATACTGGTATTATTAATTTTATACTCAGATTTTAAAAGTAACAGTAAAAGGGAGGTAATAAAAATAAGTCATGTATGTAAAAGTACAGTCATATCTCTTTAAGAAAGCAACCCTAACTTATATTAAAACATTTTTTGAGGACCTGTTTTGTTATGACAGCCATGCAGATCTTTATAAGAAGTATTAACCTTAGGACTGACATAAATGGCTGCATTAGTCCCTCCATGAAATTTTATTGGTACTTTCAGTGCTTAAAGATTATCTTATAAATAAATATATATTTAAAGTGGTACTATTTGTATTTATGTTTGCAATTTTTTTCGTGATAATTATGGGAAAACACTGATTTCATTTAAAAATTAGATTTCTGCAAATCAACTATAATTTACTATGAATTTTTTTTCCTGATTTGTTACCCTCAAGTCTTTCTGTGATTATAAATCTTTGAGGAAACATTATGGAGAAATACACTATAAAATGATTTGTTCGTGACTAGAAATTTTTGCAAACTAAGGTAGCTTTTAGAAAAGTAATGAACCCTGTGGATATATCTCACAGGCAAATAAAAGTTTGTTTTAATAATTGATAGTGAAAAAGAAAGATGATCAAGATGTTGTTTACTTCCATCGCAATATCTCCTGTGTATGCTGACCTGTTATTACCATAAAGTAAAACATAGATAAGTCCTCTGCTATAATGTTTGACAATAAATCATTAAAATGAAAGATCTTTCAAACAAAACTCTGAAAGTTTGTTTCCAAAGTATGCAATGTTGCACAAAAAAAATTAAATTTTAGTTTAAAAAAAAAAAATTTAAAAAAAAGAGGTGACATAACAGAGAAATTATGGTGTTTTGTTATAATTTGAATGACTAAGTTTGAGATATGGCTGTACACTTCTTTGTATAATATAGGTATACATATATATCCAGTATGTATTTTTATCTAACCTACAGTTAGAAAGCTATGAATAAGTTTATAATAAATTATAAGCATGCAATAAAACTGGACAGATATAATCAAGAAACAACATTTTATACTGCATTGATTATTACATGTACATATGTAGTGCCAAATTGAGGTTTTAATGCAGTTTTTGTATAAATATTAGAAAATAAGATTGTTAAGAATTACAGATTACTGTTGTAGGGCAATACATGTAGACCTGCACATAAATCAGAAAGTTTGACTGAAATGTTTTGTGATGTTGGTTTAGATTTTTTTAAACCCAGCATGTTAAACATTTTCAGCACCCAGATATTTTTAAAACTTTTGTCAACAATGCAAACTCAAGTTCAGCATGAAACAAGTTGCACATCAGCACATTAGGCAGATCATTAAAATAAGGTCCCTGTAAGCATGATGAACAAATGAAAAGTTGATAGTAGCCAGGGTTAAGCTAAAGAAACGTGGATGTAGTTTTCATAATGGCTATTTAGAAAACTTGGCACCTAGAGAGCACAAAACTTTCAGGGATATAGGCATTCAAACTCATTTCCTTTTTAATCAAATATTTGAAATTTGAAATTCAGATTGAAATTTTCACAAAGGCTTAAACTTTATCTTGTTTTCAAAAGAATTTGTATATCTAATTTTATGAAAATTCTGAATGTCAGTGTCTAACTGAAATGTTATACTTTCAGGGGATGTGGTCGCCAGAGCACCCTCTTTAGACCTGAATTATTTTGATCCAAACAAAGTCATCATTTATACCACAAGATACAAACTTTCAAGGTAAATTAGAATGGATGGACATTTAATCCATATTTAGTATTCAATAAAACTTGTGGTCAAATGACCAAAAGTAAGTCATTCTAAACAAAATTTGAGAGAGAGAGAGAGAGCAAATAATTATCTTCAATAAGCAAAAGTTTGGGATCCGCACCTCTCGACAGGTGGTCTTTAGAATAGTGGAGTCTATCAGAAACCTCTGGTTAGCAAAGATGGCAATTAAGATACAAGGAGGTTATTATCCACATTTTAAGTCTTATTTCAATGTGAGTGGCATAATATGTCTTCAGTTTGATTCTTCCTCAAATAGATTGGCATGCATTGAGTATTTTAATGAAGATGGAAATCTGTTGTTTTCTAGATCTAGGTCAAAACCATGGAAACCCAAAAGAAGGAGTGTGACCTTTGACCAGTTACAGATTCCCCTCCCACTGCCCCACCCAGCTGTGATAGCCCTGTCTATTTATAACCGGTAAATTACTGATTCACTATCAAATCTAGCTGCAGTAGCTCTGTCTATTTGTAACAGGTAAATTCTTGATTCACTTTCAAATCTAGCTGCTATGGCCCTGTCTATTTCTGGCAGATATATGTCTATTAATAACAGGCAAACTCCTGATTCACTGCCCCAACCAGCTGTGCACTTTAAATATCTGATGTTTTACTGATTATTTACCATTTATAGAGAACATGAACAGAGTCCCAACAACCTAGAAGATGCCTACTGTCAGAGGATTCTGAAGGCTACTAAGGAAGTCCCATACATAGACCTCGGGGAATCCATGACAGAGGACGAACTGGATCCAGAACCCAGCACCCCAGAAAATGGTGCAGAGGAGGATCTAAGTTTTCTCCACATAGCTCAACAGGAGCGGACATTTTCTGAGGAGGACATGGCCAGAATGCAGGAGACCAACCCAAAAGAGGTGCGGGTCACGATCCACTCTCCTGAGGGGGAGGGGCGCCCCATCCCCATGGTTGATGAGGGGGTGGTGGTGTATACTGAACCTGAAGGAGATAATACTTGTGTGGATGTTTAGATCCTTCCCCCCCTTTAGCTTCTGTGATAAAATTTTGTCTCAGTAGACAATATTATCTGAAATACTCCCATCATTCATTGCTTCATTAGTTATATATAGGGCAGAATGTATATGTTCTGACTTTTAGAGTACTTTAGCTCATTCTTTCTGTAGCCTTTTTTGTATTATTTTTCTCAGATTTTCTTTTCTGACATGAGCAATGCTGTAAAATATGTGTTCAGGGTTTTTCATAGATAAGTTTTCACTGGTGCTAATGTTCACAAAACAAAGCTGAAGCAGTGTGTCCCTTTGTTTTCTTGCTTACAGCTTGTTTAAAGGTCATTTGTAAGTATATATCATATAAACTTTTTACTCAAATCATACAGCATAAAAATATAAATCATTGATGTAATGGCTTTCTAAGAAATCTCAACAGACTGTAAAACATTTACTGATGGGGTGTGACAATTCATGTATTCACATAAAGTGCATGCCATGTACATTCTTTTATTTTATTTGAAAAATCAGGCCATGTGATTGTTAATGTATTTTATGATACATGCACATTTATGATATATTGGTATATAGATATGTGTATTAGGATCTTGGTTGTTTGCTATTTGTGTATTTTGTTTATCATAGTATTGTTTTGCCCAGACTTGTGCCAAATTGCCTGAAAATGAGACCTTTATTCATTTAATTTTATTACAATAAATGCAAATATTTTAAATGTATTACATATAAACATATATCATTTTAAGGAAATTGTATGTTATGTACTTAAAACATTTTAGTTGTGCATTGTACATATCAGTTTCATAGCTTTGCAAGGTCTTCCAATTTCATGTATTTCTTATTTCATCATTAGGATTGCATCTTTCTTCGATCAATAATTCTCAAAAACAATGCTGACTTTATATTTTCAACTTTTGTGTGCTTTAATACCAGGAGAGTGCCATTTACTAATATGAACATTTAATGTAATACCAAATTAAAGATTTATGGTTATTATGTATATCTTCTATGCATTACACCATAAGGGAATGAAGATTTCACTTGCTAAAAAAACCATATACATTATCATTTAGTAATGTGATGAACATTGGCCCTTGCTAGCTTGGACTTCTGGGTTAACCCTTTAGCTTGATTGGTAGAGCACTGAACTGGCATGTTTAAAGTCCTGAGTTCAATCCCAGGCAGAGGCACATACATGGTTAGAGATTCCCAGATGTAGTCAAGTGATCCTTTTCAATTTTCCTCCTATACCTGTTTGTCTTCAGACAATAGAATGTACACAAGTTCTCTCCCCTGGTAGTCTTTAAGCTGTAACACTTTCTCAGGTGTATCTCATGAATATGCATGATTTTAAGTATATGATACATGTACTATGTTTACATGCATCCTAGTTAATTGTCACAAAAACTGCTATAAATGAAAGGAGCATTAGTGTTTTTTCTGAAACTTTAGTTGATATAAATCATTTATATTTCATCTTGGCAGTGAAATGAAACTTGCTATATTGCTGTATATAACAATTAAGATGGAACTCTTGGAATTGGTATGATTTTGAATAAGCTATAATTTTTTTAAATGTACTAATTTTTCTTGCTTTTTCATATTTCTATACTGATCAGAAATTAATTTGACACTTTTGTTTGTAAGTATTGTATTTTATTTATCTGCGTAGAAATTTGATACCTCATTTGTATTTAGCAGTTTTTAATGCATTAAATATTTTTGTATTATGTTAACCGGCATAATGTTTTACCATTACAGGCATAATGTGTAGCTTCTAAAAAAAAATATTTCCTTGTTATGAATAATCTTAAGGCACATTTGTTCAATAACACATTGTATCATATGCTAAGCTTAAGCTTTCATCCAAGAGATTTGGAAAATACGTGTAATTTTTAAGAAAATTGAATTCATTTGTTTTAAAGTTATATGTAGGAATTGTTTGATTTTTTTTTCTTTTTAAAAAGAAATAAAAAAAAAGCCCCACAAATATCAGCTGAACTATTTATTCACTGGAAACAAAGTTTTTTTTTCTGAATTTCTGAATTACTTGGTAGTATCTATTAGTAGTATGGTGAGATGCAGCTTCTTGCATAGGTGCTGTTAAAGAAAATTTTCATTCATACAATGTTAGTGTATTGGACATATATGCACATGTTTTTAAACCAAAGGGTCTGTTCAAATTGAAACTTTGTGTTTAACCTTCTGTTAGCTTACATTGTACCTAGGCCAAGAGCTGAAGCAAGTTTTCTGTCTGGCTGTCTCTTATTTTTTTCTCATAAGGCCACACCAATTTAATTTCTTGTTCGTTGGACATTTGATGAAAAAAGTAAGAGCGGTCAAGCGGTTAAATAATAATATTATTACTTTTTGTAGACAATTTTTTTAGGCGGGCCGTGAAGAAATGTGAGTGGACAATTATATTTTTCTGATTTGCAGGGTAAGCAGATGAAAAATACGATAAATAGAATGGAAATGGAACAGAAAATAGCTAAGAATTTCCAAGGTGCAGAAAATTTAAATTAATATTATTTGTTTAGATTCGTTTAAGTACGAGCGTGCGGGTCCGACGAACAAAAATTTTATTGGTATGGCCTAAAACATTCAAGTTCTCATTATTTTTACCATTAAGGAGTTCAATTATTTGATGAATTGATACAGTAAGACTTGTTTTATCTAGATCCTGTATATTCTGAAGTCTTGCCTTTTATGATGTAGACTTTTAATCTCTCTGACAGAAAATGTCGTTGTTTGAAAAGTTATCACATTGACTTCTGCTGATGAACAATGTACAATGTACTAATGGTACTCCCTCAAAAAAATGCTAAAAAATGTCCTGCTCCTTTGCTTGTTTATTAGTTTATTTGTTTGTTTGTTTCAGAAGTTTGAGTGAGAGGACTTCAGTGCATGTTGGACTTACTTTATCAGAGGGAAGTCCAGTAGAAGAGTTTTTGAACTTTCATTTAACTGATGTATTTTTATTGAGTTCTTTCTTGTTGTGAACCAATGCTTTTGTAACATTGATTTTATTTGATTGTCAATCTAATTAAAATTAGATCCTTTACGCTCCTTGTATTTTGTTATGTCGCTGTAAGGCGACATAACAAAATACAAGGAGCGTAAAGGATCTAATTTTAATTAGATTGATTTGATTGTTTCAATGAAAATGATTTAATGTCTCTGTTGTGCTGCTTGACATAAGGTTTTGCTTTATCAGCATAATTGATTCTGAAAATCTGGCCAGCAGGTTAACAATGGCAATACACTGGATTGTGAGCGTGTATTGCTCACGCATCAAATTGGATGACCCAAAGGAGCCGGAAAAAATTTGATTGGCTAAGGCAGCTTCAATATGATGTATCCTTGGAGACATTAGACTCTAAAATGGCTTATTATAAGACATGAAGTCATTGATTGAAATACTTTGGTGAAATGAATATGATTGTATAAGTGTAGTCCACATCCATGTCAATTAATTATATTTTTTGATAGAAATACAATATATGTACATGAATGTGTATTTCCATTACACTGTACATACAAAGCTGGATTACTTGATTTTAATCATGCTGCTCTGTTTACCTGGCTTAGTTTAGCTTGGCCAAATTCTATCAGAATCAAGGATGCTAATTGTTACCCTTTATTTTACACTCTTTTTGCACTGACTTCTGCCTATACACAAGTCTGGCTGCTCACCTTTAGTCAAATTAAACAGTGAAATAAGATAAATATTTAGATTTCCTTTTTTAATAGTGGTGTATCCAATTGATACTGGGACTTGAATTGCCTCTACCAGAAAATATATTAGACAAGATGATCTGATTCATAGCATGTAAGTTAGATGCACATTCTACTGAAAATGAAAATGTAACATTTATGATGCATATTTTTTATCATGCTCTTCTTCATTGAAGAACACAATTACTATGTTATGGTCATTTGATTAGTCTTTGAAGGAAATTGGAAAAAAAAAATGTTCACTTCTTTAAGATTTTGAGCCTATCACTGATCCTGTAACTAAAAGTTTCTTCTAATATAATTTCAATTACCTAAGAACATCTTAACTTCATAAGCAAAATTATACAGTTGTATTGTTGCTATTTAATTTGCCTTTATTTGTTGCATTTAGTTTGATTTTACTGTGTAATGACAATTGCATACTTTGTCTTTCATTCCTAGTTTTTCTATGCTGCTCTCTTATGCTTGTTGTGTGATACTCTGTATTCTTACTGATATGGGTTTTAATGCCAGCATAATGAACTTATACCAGCATAATGTGCAGGATATTTTTCAATCTGTGCAATATATTGTTACCTGTATACAAGATTAAATCTGGAGACATTCTATGATTTTAAGTTTTCCTGTGTAGTTACTTTGTTTTCCTATTCTAAATAATAACTGTCAGCTTTCTATGATCTAAATATGTACGGCACTGAGCTTTATCTCAGCTTTCACCTTGCAGATATAATTATTGAGTATTTGCACATTCTGTAATAAAGACAATTTAATCATGATGTTGTTTGTTGCTTATATTATAAATTCTTCCTTCAGGGCTGATATAAATGCTCCTTGGAGATTGTAAAAAGAGTTTGTATATTAGTGTATCTAGATACGAAACCAGGAATATTCCCGAAAATGTCATCTTGCTTTTTGTAATCAATACAGCCACAGGAATACTGATTTATTTCTTTGACCTTGACCTTTTGAAGGGAGGTTTGGTTTAAGGTGGAGAAAGTCCATGGAGTCAAACCTGGGTAGGAGATATACGTACTGAAAAACAAGTTTTAACATCTACAGTAAAGATTGTGGCCTCACCATGACATTTTCCTGGTATTCCTCATATTGGTGTTCAAGATTCAGAATAGTATATCATCAATGATCAATTAGGATGCTGTTGAATTTCAGTATTTTAAACTCTGATATCTTGAATACCATGGATTATGTCAAATTCATTAATTTGAAAACCTTTTACATTCAATTTTCCTCAGTACATGTTTTTTACCTTCAATACCTTGAACTGTTTGATGTCCCAAGTATTTCTGTGGTCCAAGTTTAAGATAACAGGGTTTGACTGTCTGACGTTCAAAGTTTGGACAAAGGAACTTGGCTGAAAAGCTACCAGTACAAGTTATGGGTAATCCAAGACCTTGTAGCTTAGCTGAAGCAGTCAGCCTACTGGCTAGGATAGAAATCTAGGTCTATTGTAGGATCCCTACATGGCAGCAATGCTAGCATCACTATTGTAGCAATATTTTGAGCTATGTAGCTGCTGCGACCTTAAATGCAGTCCTTTCCTTGACCCTGAAGAACTTGATGGCAATGACATGCATACATAGATTTTGTGTCTCTTTGTAACATTAATGAACAGGTAATAGTTTTGATGTAAAATTTAATAGATTTTTATTTAACTAAAAAATATTTGTAAAATGTAGCACTGATTGCAACAAAGTAGATACATCTTTTATACCATGATCATATGGTCAAAAACTACAATTACATGTACCAGTAAGTAATGATCGGAAAAAGAATGTCTGACATATGAAAAAATCCAGTTAACAAATTCTGAAAATGCAATTAAAAAAATGCTAGGAGACATCATTTTCCACCTTGTATTTATAATGACAATAACACATGTATATTACACATACATCTAATTAGATCTCTGCATGTAGAAAATGTATAACAAAAAAATATGAAGTTGCACTGAAATAGGTGTTGATAGAAATATCAAGCTGATTGTATATGTGCCTGAACAGTACTAGAAAACTTGAAGCTTAACATGAAAAAAGTTTTTTTTGTATAGTTGTATAACATACAATTATAGAAGATAAAATACAGTAAGTACATGTATATTAAAAGTTTTGACATGCAATTGTTTGGGAAATAATTGCAAATGGCACAATGTTGCGAGGGTTTTTAAAAACCTTTAAATTAAGGTTCACACTAAGATAGCAGCTAGCCCCTGAAGACTGCCTCATACAAACAAGTGCCACATACATTAACACAGTGCAACAAAACATTTTGATATGGACAATGACAATGTTTAAAATGAACAAAAATTTCAAATGACATGTTGAGTTTTAAATGTCTTTGAGTCCCAATTCAAATAAGGAAATCTTTGCACAACTACTTTGTTAAGATTTTCTCAATAGTATGCCTTTCTTTCTCGGTTAGCTCCACAGAAAATGTTGGAAGTTTCTGAATAAAACAATAGTGGTTCCCTCATCAGACCTTTAACCTTTTTGTACTTGTATTGGGTTTTTCCTCGGAGTCTGAATCCTCCGCAGGCCTCTTTTTAGGTTTCTCTTTGTTAGCACTCTGTGCCGGACAAGGCTTGAGGAGCCATCGGACATTGTTCTCCAGGAAGCCCCTCAACCCCGGGGGAAGGCCAACCTCTTTAAGAACATCTAAATGGGAGGGTATGACTTTACGCATAATTTGACAACACATGAATTGTAGGGAGGTGGGGAATGAACTGTTACTGATCACTTTCATCCCACTCCTGGCGGCTGTGGACGACACAATAGGATACAGAATGCGACCCTGAAGTCCATGGTAAGCTACTCCTACAAAATGTATATATTGATTAATTAAAATAAGAATTACTACATGCTCTTCCAATTAACATATATATTACTTGGACAATTTGCATTGATCTGAGCTTAATATTAAGAAATTCAACCCAAGTTAAACAGAAAACAATATTAATTTATCTCTTTTAACAAAATACAGTTAAATCTTATTATCTTCAACTAGTTGGGACTGAGAAATAAAAGTAAAAGATATCCTAGGATTCTAGATAGGTTGGAACTTCCAATAGGTATGAAATTGCAGAAACAGCTGTTTTATACCTAATGGTTTTCTATTTCTGTAAAATGATAATGTTCCATGCCACATGTCAAGATGAACTCCTATGATGGCTCCCTGGCCAAACTTGCTGGAATATGACTCCTTTATTTGTTTGTGTTGGATTTGTCCAGAGTAAGACATCCCCCAGGAATTACTGTCTAAACCAATCATGCTGCAGAATATGTGTCGGCAGTGGTTCAGGTCAAGGTCACCGGTACACACCCCAATCATCTACAGAGACGGGAAACATCCAGAGAATAATATGTTGGAACTTTATGAAGTATGAAGTTCATAATTCAAACATTTTATACTTGGAGCTAAGACTGCTCCTCTTAGAAAAGTGTGCGGGTATGCTAACAATTTTAATTGTTTGTTTTTTTTAGCATGTTCAGCTTGCATAAATAATAAATTGCATTATTAGCCTGAGACAAAATTTGCATCGATATTGAGTTAGCAAATATTTTTTTTATCTATAAAGAAAAAATACAGCTATTCACCATATCAGTCCCATAAACTGGTGTTGTCATCTTTATTTCCCAGAAGTACTGATCATTCTTCATAGGCATTGTTCCGCGGACTGCAGCAGTCCCACAGCTGTAGTCGATATGAAACATCACTTCTCGGGAATCATCCTTAATACAGCTCGCTGCTGACTTGGATTCATCATCCCATACCCACTCAAATTCTGAAAAGTAGTGCATGATTGAACACTGACATTACATTATCATCAAGTGCTCGATAAATGATGTACATTCGTACTGCCACTACTGGCATGTATTTATGTCAATGAAATTAGGCTATGATATTCATATCAAGACATAGAAAAGGACATTTAATACACTTTTACAGCCTGTTCATTCTCAATTTAGTGCTTGCAAAATCTACTTCACAAAAAACTGACAGCTGTTGTTGCTTTGCTGGTGTCCAAGAAACTAGAACTTGCTATTCTATTTCTATGTCTAAATCTTCGCTTACTTGTATTTTCCTCTCCGCATACACAGAATTTTTCTCTCTTTTTCTTCAGACAGTCACAGAAGGAGTCACTCTTGGACTTGCTGACCATTCCACAGGACAATCCCCGACGTCGTGGTGACAATTCCTCGTCATCAGGATCAGAGAAAATGGATCCAAGTTCTTCATCATCATCACTGCTCAAGTCCGCTGGTGCACTCTCTATTGCTAAAATTTCGCTCATGGCTTTGATAAACTATGCTTTGACTCTCGTTAAAATATCAAAAAATGTCATTTTGTATTGCAAAGTTTAACTACATTGTCACTGTCAACATCGTAGAAATATTTTGACAAACAAGCACTTTTGAGATTCTGATGTAAGAGTTTCAATAATCTAGATTGAAGGGTATTGGTAAAATGAGTATGCAAATACGGACCGGGACAAATTGAAAACCAACGGGTAATGAAATCTGAATGTGCAAACATTTTTTATCCTGAAAAAAGTTTTTGAAAAATATTTTCAGTCAACTGATATAAGATTTTGTTTTGAATAGAACATTTCCTGCCTAGAAATTGCTAAAACGTTCAGTATTTTTTACTGATCTGTTTTTTAATTAAGATTGATTGAATGTTTGTTTGTTTTGTTTTTTTAATTTATAATCTTTAAACACCTAATCTATTTTCAAAAATAGGTACGTTATTGACAAATAATTTGCTGATGTAAGAATATCAGCAGTCTTGTTTAAATTCATCATTTCGTAACTTCTCTGGTCGATACAACGACCAGCCTTATCACATGTATCAGCAAATACAATTTATCATTAATTCATACAAGGCCGTTAAGGCCATTACAATTTACATATACTCACTGAATTGTCGACGGATTTTCCTGTCATGTCCCGATCATGACAAGGTCACATGGCGGGTATGACTAGTCGGCAGGGGATGCTTACTCCTCCGTGGCACCTGATCCCACTTCTGATGTTTTGGTGGGCCCGAGTTTGCTCTGCTCCTATTTTGTTCTGTTTAGTGGACTTTTGAGCTTGAATACTATGCTTTATCCTCATGTATTTCCTTATATATAAATGACACTTTCCCGCAAATTACATCTGTGTATTTCAGTATATATATAGATAGGTCCCCGTGTCTAGTTAAAAAAACTGTATGGAAGTATATTGTGAATCGTCAACATGTATTAAAATTGGTTGAAATGCTTCCAATTTCGTGAATTTTAATCAATCCAATACATTGAAAATACATTTCAAAAATCAGTTCAAAATACAACGGGACATGGTGGTCTTTTATACCCTGTAACGGGGGCGCTGTAACGGCACGGTTTCGAAATATATTTCTACTTTTACCAACATCTGATTTACAATGTTTACTTCCGTTTTCATATTCACGCGTAAGTCAAGTGCACTTTCGATAATGATTGCACTTCACGTGATATTAATGTTTGTATAATAAGGTAAGATTGATGTGAAGGTGCGCGATGTAAATACTCTTAATGTTTTTTTTCCCAATTTCTTTGTATAATGCACATGTAGCTGTGTTCGGGTGTAGGCCGTAAATTTCTTTTTCTCAATCAGCTGATTTTGAACCGTGTATAATAATGGGCATTATTTTAAGGTTACGAAGTTAAGATTGGGTCATAATTTTATAATGAAAAGATTGATAGAAATCAAAATGTTCTGATATAGATATATTTGACACATTTGTTGAAAGAAGATCAAACTGTTAAAAACTGAATTAAGGATAAACTTCCAGGTAAATTAATAACTTTAAAGGTAAGTTCTTCCTCCTCACATGCATATAAAATTCCTTTTAGAAATATTCCTATCATATAAAAAAAAGTTCCAGTGACAAATTATTCTGAGAAAATATTTCTGTTTGTGAAAGGGGGGGGGGGACTGGCATTGTCGCAAACCACGACCAAAATGTACCGGTACGATCCTCTCCCATTCTGGCCATGGTTAAATGAGAAGAGAATATTTTGTACCTCATTAAAATATTGCGCAATGCAAGTAAAGCATAGTCAGAAAATGATCTTTGTTGCGACAAATGTGTCAATGTTAATTTCAGTTGCGATTGACACAAACATTGTCATTCATGGCTTAACATGATGTCACGTACAGCATAGAGATGTAAATATTTAGGATTATAACATTTTATGTGATCAAGTAGCCATGAGTGGGAGAGAGAGCTATATGGACTTCGAACCGTGGCTTGAGGCGGTGGGGGACTGGAAACAGATCATATGTTCTAGATTTTAGACCTTTAATTTCAGGAAGGAAATTAACAATTATGATCACATGCTATTGGATAATTTATTGATAATATCAATAGGGGATCAAAGTTACTGAGAATATATATGAGAAAAATATAAATATATAATATTTAAAAAAAACTGTATCTTCTTTGGGAACAAAGAATAATTTCAGGTTTTACACAGAAATATATGAATATTAATTCACAAGAACATGCAGGAAATTTAAGCCTGAAACAATGGACTTAAATTATAAATGTGATGACCCCATAAGTGATTCCATTTTCCTGAAGCACATTTATTAATATATCATTATATGTAATAGCTATTCATTGAGATTGATTGTAATTTTGTTATCTAGGGTATGGACTTATAAGAAGGAACACCAACAGTGAAGGTTTGAAAACATGGGACAAGGCAGCAAATTTCTGCTGCTATTATGGAAAAATTATCTTATTCAAAAGAGAAAGATCTTTACTACCATTCTGGAAATTGCCCTGCCCACATTTTTTGGTCTGATCCTGGTTTTGATCCGACTAAGAGTTACCGGACAACAGGTGACCAATGGGATGAACTGGTCAGCCTGTTCTGACCTGTCCAGTATGCCTTCCAGCTACTCCTACCCCAGAAAACTAGCCTTTACACCGGACACACCCCTCACTCAATCTGTTATGAGGAAAATTAACAACAACATGGCCTTTTTTAATGGTATGTAAAATTATATATTTTGGAAGGTTTCATCGTGGGTTTAGAATGATTTTAAGTAAATATTTGGATAAAGCATGAACGGCAAAGAAAATCATTGAAAGGGAAATTGAAAATATGTTGTGATATTTAAAATTACAGCATGCAGGTACTTAGTTAATAAATCTATTAACAGTTTAAAATTTATTATACATGTACATGTATTCACTAGCATATAGGTATGTTAGTATTTTCATATGAATTATATATACTGGGTATTTTTTGACTGTAGAGATCCAACCATTTGAGACTGAAGATGAAATGGTCAATTTCCTGATTTTTGCCAACAAAACGGTGAACAACACTGCTCATTATTTAGGAGGAATTGTATTTGACAGCGAATTCAAGGAAAACCAGTTTACAGATCAGATATTATACAAAATCCGCCTAAGCTCTTTTCCCAGACACGGCCGGGGAACCAGCAACTTAAACCCAGCTAAACAAGACAAGGAGTGGTTCACTGAATTCATGTTTCCACTCTACCAGGTTATTGGGCCCAGAGACAATGGTTCCATTTGTGGGTCAGTCCCAGGTAAGAATGTCTATAAAAATATAAATATATATATGTCTATAAAAATGTCTTTTCTTGAAGTAAAATGAGTTGCAGCATGGTTATATCCATCTTCTGATACGCTACTTTCCTCATGATTGGCTAGCGAAAATGGGTTATATCATACGTTTCTGTAAATTATAATACAGTACAATGAAACCTGTTTAATCTGACACGAACAATCCATTTCATTGTGAATTCTGACCCTTGTTTAAATTCCCTTTTTATTTTCTTGCTCTCTATATAGTGCAATCTGGCACCCTGGTGTCTTTTCTGGCACAAAATTTATATCTTAGATCATGTCAAATTAGACAGAATTTCACTGTATAATTAAATGTCTACTCAGATGTAGGAGTTAAAAGAGACAAGTCACGGTTGTTGACATATATACTGTATAAAAATACAATTTTTTAAAATTTTGTTGACAGAAAATTAAAAAAAAGGTGAGTTTTAAGACAGTGATTTTATTATCAAATTAATGATTCAATCAGGTAGTAATTCATAAATGAATTCGAATAATATTGGGTTTTTTGCTTTTGCTGGTAAGTGGTGGCATCTCCATATCTGTGAAAAATTCTCGAGAGGGACATTAAACAACAAACAAACAAACAAACAAACAAACAATCAATCTGTATATTATAAGCATGTGCACAGCTCATACTTAAAGTTTCTCAAAAATTGTTACAGCTGATTATCTCGACTTAAAGCTACAATCTTGAGCAATTTACTAGCCTTAGTATATGGCTGCCATATGAGGATAAGAAGCATTAATTCATTCAATGCATTCAGTAGATCTAGATATCTAGCCCAGGAGCTAGGGTAGCTGCTGCATGATTGAGCACAGCCATGCTGTCCACAAATTAAATTTTTGTTTTTAATAAAGTTTTAATTATGTTAATTAGGTTACTACAAGGAAGGATTTCTAGCCCTACAAACCAACATAAACAAAGCAATATACGAGACGGTGATCGGTAATGATACGTCAGGACAACAGAGACTGTCGGAGTTTACCGGGGGTGACAACATAAAGCTACGGCGACACCCCTACCCTCCCTACAATGACGACAAATTTGTCCTGGTGATTCAGCAGCAGTTCCCCTTAATCCTCATCCTCAGCTTCGTCCTGGTGGCCCTCAATGTTGTCAAAGATGTGGTCCACGAAAAGGAAAGAAAACTTAAGGTGAAAATATAGACATGTCATCTATTCTTATTAAGCATAAATATGCAGTAAACTTCGTTTTAAGGAGTTCAATGGGAATTTTATACATTAAGCCAGGTGTGAACAATTAACTGGGTGTTGTTTTGACAAATTAATGTTTGAAGTCAATTAAAATGGCTTCCGATAGAACTAGATCGTTATCAGGGCCAGCAGGAACAAATTGAGCCAAACACATGTCTCTGATTGAACCAAGAAAAAAGAGAAACAATATTTATGTACATATCAAGGAATCTTGGAAAAAAAACTTTTATTCTAGATAAAATAAAGTGATCGAAGACAGTGTAGGCCTAACTTCACATTTAATATATACATATTGCAGTAGTTGATTTATTAAGAGAGAGGAAAAATAACTTCAAAACTAAAATTGGTATACTTTCAAATTTAGCAGAAACTGAAAAGGCTTTTTAAAAAAAATGCACACTTACTTCAGGTCAATACTGAAAAATGAAACCTTCAATTCTCTTTTTTAACATGTAAATTTAATCAATTTATGTATGATTTTTTTTTGTCATTGTAAATTAAAGCCTTTTTCAATAAAAGAATTCTTAATACACAAATACTTTGTATATATATAATTATGTATAAAATTTAATCATGGTAAATATGTCGTGAATGCCGTTACGCGTTATGACCAGATTTTTTACTTTCCAAATCTGGTCATGACCAAATTTTTACATGCTGGAGGTTGGCAAGTATGACATTAACTTCTGTATAAGAAATTTATTGGCAAAACTTCATAAAAGTTTTCTTTTCATTGAGATTTCTTTATAAGCAATTTCTTTATAAAATCAAGTTTTACTGTTCTCTTACAGCTTTGTCAACCAGATTTAGGTTTCTGCAATGTTGTTTGTGTGTAGATTCATGTATCTGTATTTTGACAGAGACATAAAAATCTGTATTTCAGGAGTCCATGAAAATGATGGGTCTGAACAGTTGGTTACACTGGGCCGCCTGGTTTGCTAAGTATTTCATTTTTCTGTTGATTACCTCAGCCATTATGACCATTTTCTTAACAATGAACACAGCAGAGGGGCGTGTCATAGGAAAGACCAATCCAATCATCATCTTACTGTTCCTGATTTGTTTCTCCATGGCAACCATTGCTTTCTGTTTTCTTGTCAGCTCTTTCTTTTCCAAAGGTATGTGCTGATGAAAAAAATGAATAATGCTTTGTGATAGTGGGTACACAATAACCAATGTTAAAGAAAGCATTTTATTAAAACATTTCATTTTGCACTTTAATTATTTGACAAACCAAATATTATTGTACTTGTATTAGTTTTCTTTTCCTGTTAATGTATTTTGTATAGTCATGAATGACTATTGATTTGGGATTTGAATTAAAATTTTCAGCAATAAAGGGAGGAAACTTTTATTTCTGTACTTGTTTTGTAGCAAATTCAGGCGCAGCTGCCGGGGGCATCATATTTTTCCTGAGTTACATCCCTTACTTATTTATACAGCAGAGGTACGCCACACTGTCCTGGGGGGCCAAGATGGCCTCCTCCCTGGTGTCCAACATCGCCATGTCATACGGAGGTCAGGTCATTGGAATGTTTGAAGGCACAGGTACAGTACAACCCAAAAATCAAAGATTCATGAAAGCATGACTCCTTGTTGATCTTTGCCTTAGCTAGACTTACAATTTTAGTAGACTGTAGTCTTCTAGTGATTAATGAATGTTCAACATAATGTTTCACTAAATTTAATAACGAACAAGTGCCCATAAATGATTTGTAATCTTCTTTGATGCACAGTTGCACCATTACTTTTGCTCTCCACTGTAGGCGCTGGTATCCAATGGTCCACTCTTGACCAAGGAGTTTCAGTGGACGATGACTTTGCCATGCTCCACATTATGATCATGCTTTTGGTAGACACTGTACTGTATATGATGCTGACGGTATATATAGAAGGGGTGTTTCCTGGGGAATACGGTGCTCCACTCAAATGGTACTTCCCATTCACAGTAAGTTTGCCATGTTCTTCACATTTCATGTTCCACTGACAAATTCAAATTAGATTTGATTTGGGAGCATCTTATAAAAATTTTCTTTGATATGGACTGTTTAAAGAAGGTATTATATATACAAGTAATGAAGTTGAATGAGTCAAGGGGCGATGCATTTCTTCATGTTTTACCTTTGTTAAGCATTCCTTAACTTTCTATTGAAGTTTAAAGAATAGCATTAAAAAAAATAATCGAATTAAAAGATGTAACATACACATTCTTTTCTGAGTTCCAACCCTCTTCATATCAAACTATTTTAAGAGAAGTATTAAAACTATCATACATACTTGTTGTGGACAGAAATCCTACTGGTGTGGAACCACAGCCTCGGATGATGTTCCAGACGACAAGAGAATCAGCATTGGTCAGAATCCAGATTTCTTTGAGGCTGATCCAGTTGGAATCCGTGCTGGAATCCAGATCCGAAATCTCAGAAAGGTAAGGAGTGTTGTCTACAGCTTCCAATTTCACCTCAGATTGATTTTCACACTGAAAATTGCTTGAAGTAAGACAAGGTAAGTTGAAAGAACAATCTGTATCAAATGAGTGAACAGAAACCTCCAAATTTAGAATGATACAGGAAGCAGAATTTCTGTAGAATATTTACCAAAAAAGCTAGGATTGAAACTATCCAGTAATTCTTATTAAATAAAAAAGGTGTGTATTCTTGTTAAACCCATTTAAAGCCCAATTAAGCATAAGCCTACCAATTCTGAAGTCATTATTTCTATTCATAATTTTAGAATGGGCCATTTTTTTCCTTATATTAAAGTTGAATTTTTATAAGTTAATGTAATCTAAATTGCTTCAGCCTTGCTGTCATTCAAGTGATTTCTAAGGTTTCTAAGTGAGTTGTTAAAATTTCAGGTTTTTGGCAAAAAAGAGAACTGCAAGGTTGCTGTTGCCGGAATGTCATTGGATTTGTATGAGGGGCAGATAACTGCGCTTCTAGGTCACAATGGGGCAGGAAAGACGACCACTATGTCAATGTTAACAGGTTTTTAAACCATTTCTGCTTGTCTCTGCATTTTAAATTGTCTATAAATGAATCCTAAGTAAATTTTCCTATTTAAAAAAAAAATTATCAGAATGAATTGAAATACATGTACCTACAGTTTATTTCATGTTTTGATATTAATTGTGGAATGGCATGTTGCCCAATGTTTCAGATTCAATATAATGAGATGAACGATATCAGGTTTATGCTTAATTTTTGATAGAAATTAAATAATGAAAATTGAGCAATTTGCAGTCTATGCAGAATGTGGGTTAAACAATGCTTATAAGCAGCTGCTCACTGGTAACTGTTCTTCCACAATCATAATCAAAGTGTTCCAAGGAACATGTGTCGCCTGCTTTTAGCTTCTTTATAGATGTAAATAAATCTAAGAGTAGTCAGCTATTTATATGCTACTAGCATGTACAGTATTTCATCTAGTAATGCATGGTAGTTCATAAATGCACAACATCCACACGTAGTATAAGACTGCGATAGAGTCTGTCAATAAAAAATATTATTTCCAACCCTCAAATGATAAATAATTAATTGATTAATAAGGTCAAAGTTCAGGAGGTCATTAAACATGTCAATTTACAAATGCCATAGTGCCAAGCAATAAATATGCAAAATATCAGGTCTATATCTCTTATGCTCTTGAGATAAAAGGTGTGACAGGCGGACAGAGAGACGGATGGACAGATAGGCGCCGGCCTGGGTAAAGTGATCCCTCAGTGCTGCTCTGCTGTGCAGGTGACACAAAAAGGGAAAATAAGAAAACAATATTCTATTGTTGGCTGAGAGTTTTTTAAGAAATTACTTTCTAGTTAGTAGAGCATGCCAAGGACGCCAACAATAGTTGAAAACGTTGGATAATTTATGCATAACAGGCAAATCCTTTTATTTCCACTTTATGGTGAAATAAATTGTAGATTTAGATTTTGAAAATGCAGAATAAAAGATTAAAATTACAAAAGGCCTCCCATGTCAATTCCAATAGTCCCTGCCCACTGACCTCATATACAAAGACAGCCGCACAAGATTTACTTGCATATATGCCTCCATAGCGTCAGACATAAAGACAGATGCATGAGAATTACATGCACATTAGGCCTCCTTAGCTCCTTAGTATTTCTTGGTAAAATTTACATGCTGGAAGAATGATCAAGAAATCAACTAAACTAAATTTTTAAAAAATTTATCACAAAGAAAACAAAGAAAAATTGAAATATATTGGAAATATAAATTCACTATGCACAAAAATATATTAAAATACTGACAATATAGAATTATATCCATTAAATGCAATTTCAGTAGCAATGTACATTCTAGCACATTTTAAATTACAGATACACACAAAAAATGGAAACAATATTTAGTAAATCTTTATCATCTTTAAATCTGCTGATATCTTATACATGTATATGATATATAATATATCGCCTTGTTGCAGGATTCCTGCCCCCTACCAGTGGTACTGCAATTGTGAATGGTTATGACATCCGAGAGGACATAACCAGCGTGAGGAGCAGTCTAGGACTCTGTCCTCAACACGATGTCCTCTTTGACACGATGACCGTTGAGGAACATCTTGTCTTCTTTGCTAAGGTATCAAAATACAGTCAAACTTCATTATCTCAAACTCAAAGGGCCGATAAAAACTTCCGGGATATCAGAGGATTTGAGATATTCAACATATCTATGATCCCAGCATTTGAGATATTAGTGCTCAAGATATCAAAAGTTCTTGCACAAACCTTTGAATCCTTTTGCAGACCTTCAGTATAAAGCACTATTAGCTGGTGAAAAATATGCATAATTCAGCATTGAATTTTTATTGTTTAGTTGAAGGGCTGTCCATCCAACAAGGTTAAACAGGAAGTGGAGGACATGTTGTCGGCCATTAATCTTACCAACAAGAGGAACGCTCAGAGTAAAACTCTGTCTGGTGGCATGAAGCGCAAACTTTCTGTAGGGATTGCACTGATAGCTGGATCTAAGGTGGGCTTTATGTATATGGAGAAATGGCCTCAATGTTTTTCTATGGATCTAATATATTTGATTTTTAACAGTAGCAGAGTCAAATCCTCGAGGTCATAGTTTAAAGAAGGGTTCCTAAAAGAATAATGGAGCTACAATGGGAATAATGGTTTAACAATTTTTATGTCAATTCCTGGGGAAGTTTCAAGCAAATAAAAATCACATTTCATTTTGACAAATTTTACAATCATAACATGACAATTCATTAATTAATTCTCTATTATTTATTCCAGATTGTGATTCTGGATGAGCCTTCGTCCGGATTAGATCCGGATGCCAGACGTCAGATTTGGACGGTCCTCCAGAAGAACAGAGCGGGACGTACAATGTTACTGACCACTCACTTTATGGACGAGGCTGATCTCCTCGGAGACAGGATCGCTATCATGGCAGATGGAATTCTGAAATGTTGTGGAAGCTCACTGTTTCTTAAGAACAAATATGGTAAATGTCATGAAGTTCTTTTAGATTTTGTGCAGGTAGAGAAGAAAATGATAAGCCGTAGAATATACAAAACAAAATAAATTTATTTTAATAATAAAAAAACCCCAAACAAAATAAGAAATTATCAAAACAAATGCACTCTCACACACCCTCTCTCACAAAGAAAACAAAATATAATTTTAAATCAAAAACCAGATAATATTGACAATGAAATGAAAGATTTAATTTAAAACAAAATAATTGGCAATAAATCAAATGCTGGTTTTAACAAATCAGATGTAAATATATGAGAAAACAAACAAATAACAAAATTCAGCACTGTAGATTTTTCGCAGAAAAAAAACAACTTTTAGTTAAATAATAACTGTAAATCTGAAATCCGTTTAAACTATATGAACTTTTCAAGGTTTTATTTCTTTAAAACTGAATTGGAAATTTGGCTATTCAGCTTCGTAGAAAAACAGTTACTTCAACCATAACACCACTGGGCCTCCATACTACCAACACTGCATCCCTCTAGTTCCAGTCCTGGACTCACCGTCTCCCACTGGATATCACTAAAATTCACTCCCCTCTATACAGCTATAACTGTCACCAATTCACTACACACGCTGTCCGTGTACACCACGACCTCCGTCGTCAACTTGTTTTGACCCCCGTCTCAACCAATGCCTCAAATGCACTCCTGAGGTCCTACAACCCACTTCAGCCCTGGGTTTATACTTATAACCGCTCCGCAATGAAACAATAATTTCTTAATCTAAAACCCAAACACAACTCAAACCGTAAACTGTATTAACATGCAGACAATACACCCATAACTTTACTACAAAACCCATGAAATATTTACAAATAAGAATAGCTTATCGGCTGGAGAAAAAAATGCCCATATAGTAAATAACCAAATTCCTTGGGTTTACCAGACTAACTTGCTATGAAACGTGAACTAATGGACAAAATCAAAACATGGCCGCACTCTTGACAAACAGCCACGACTCTCCCTGACCAAACCGGTTATACTAAAAATAGCTTTATTTCGAACACTCCCAACTACGGAACCAAACTCGTGATATAATAACTCTATTTACACACAAACAAAAAATACAAAAATTGAGGAGAAAAAAAAAAACTTAATTCAACTTCATCACAGTAAATGACATTAAATTGTATGTATTGATAACCAAGTTTATTAAATTAGGTGTAATATATAGATACAAATTCTGATTAAATATGCTTGTTTTTGGATGTGCAAGCTACAGTAAAGCAATATAATGAAGAGTCTATATACTTTATATATAGCCTCATTTGGCCGAATTTAAAACAGGGCGAATTCATATAATACAGTATAAGTACTTAAACAAAACTTTGACAGGGCGAATTTAGAACGGGGCAAAATTGTCCGCTAGTGTGAAAGGGCGAAAATAAAATGCGACGAAAATAACCCTGTATACAGTATTAAGAAAAATGTACCGGTACATGCATTTGTGCAATGATTTCTTCTTGGTTGAAATTCAAAATTTTGAATTTTTATTGAAATCAAAATCAGTTTCATTATTTTTTTTTTGTTGCAGGTGCTGGTTATCACATGATCATTGTCAAAGAGCCCCACTGTAACGTAGAACAGGTATCAGCTCTAGTTAAGAAGTACGTACACAATGCAGAACAAACCAGTAACATTGGAGCAGAGCTATCCTTCAGACTGCCCCACGAGAGTACAGGGAATTTCCAGGCTTTGTTTGATGATCTAGAGACACATAAACAGGAGTTTGGGATTTCTAGTTATGGGGCCTCAGTCACTACAATGGAAGAAGTCTTTATCAGGTATTAAAAGATTTTTATACGCCTTTCATTTGATGGGGCTAATGTAGTATGGGCTTTTCTATCTGTCTTCTCTGTAGACTTTCACCATTTTCAACCTCTTCAAACTTGACACAGATGTAAAAATGGCGACATTGCCCCAGGCTAATGGACACATGCAAGTTTATAATCTCATCAGGACTTAAAAAAATGTTCCTTTTAATTTGAATTTTTGCTCATTAATTTTGTTTTACTTGTTTTTGAAAAAAATATTGTGAAATAAAAAAAATATCCATCTTCTCTATGGAATAAAAGTAAATGTCAATAATTTCTGAAAGAACCATGTATGCAAATATAAAATTTATAAACTAAGGAAACAGGTCTAAAAAGCTGAGAAGATTTGTACATTATTCCATATTCAATGTCTGTGTCTGTTACTTTGGTCTCATAAGCATGTATATACATATATAATCTCAATCTACAGAAACTTTTGATATGATTGAAGTACATGTACAGCAAAACTCCTTTAGTTGAAACGCGGATATTGTGAATTCACGGATATGGTAAAGTTATTTTGGATCTCCATCTATATATTTTAACAAATTCCTTAATATATGGATATAACAAATTATGGATAGACTGATAGAGCGAAGTAATTTCACAGGTCCCAGTGACTTCATTATAACCAAGTTTTACTGTACCTGTATTTACATGTATTTGATTTTCTTCACCACACTATTGTAACACTCAGCAACAAATAGGTTATTTCTGGAGTCTACACATAAAACACATGGACTAAGTATATCAGAGTTAGCAATGTAACGGAGAAACTGTCCATCCTCATCTAGGATATGGACCCAGTCTATAATAAAATCTGCCGTTAGGATATGATTCTGGTTGTCTGTAGTAATGCCACGTGGTTGAAATGTTTGCTTATTAGAAGAGGGATGACCAGTGTATCTAAATCGGAGTTTTCCTGCCTGATTTACTACCACCACTGCTTTGCCTTTATAGTCAGCCACACAAATGTCCAGGTTCCTGTTCTCACTTATGAATTTAAGATCTCCAGACAAATACAAAAGATTACCTTCTTCATCAAACTGAATGGTTTGTTTCTCCGTGGAGCCAGAGTAACAGACAACTTTTGATTGTTTATCATCGCTGTCCATGGTAACAAGGAGGTCACCGGAGGAGGTACTACAGACGTAACGAGGTCTCCACCCCTGTAGTCTGATCAATTCCTGTATCTGGTCATTCTTCACTATGTTTATTGTTCTTGTATCAGGGTCAGTATAAACTAGATCTCCACTCCTTGTCACTGCTATGTCAAGTGGGGGGTTCCCAGAGTTGGTTTGGATGGACTTCAGTAGTTTGTCCTGGAGGTTGTAGAGTCGCATAATTTTGTCATTTCCACATGTCCAGATTTCTTCATCACTGAGACAAGTAACACTGAAAAGTTGATCAAACTCAGTCTCTATGAGATTTATGAGCTGCTTTGGTTCATCAAGCATTGTTTCAATGGGAGGGAAGGGTTCAGGTTCTGCTGTCTCCATTGTGTAGCCATATTCTTCTGTAGTAATGAATAATGCTGACAGAGAACCAAACATTTGATGGAGATCAGGGTTGATCTGAGAAGAGAAACTTGGTAATGAAACTTTGGTTTTAGGAGGTAAACTTCTGAATTCAGCATTCCTGGATTTGTATGCAAAATATCGGGAGACATCATTGGAGTCGAGAATTGCCCTCAGATCAAGAATACTCTTTTTTACATCAAAGGTAATTTGTTCTATCTCTCTTTCCTGCCTATTTAGAACATCCAGATGTTTCTTTTTCATCTCATCAATTTCAGATTTCTGTTCATTGACAATGATATTAATTTGTCTATGCCAGTCTTCACCGTGTTTTGTGACAGCTTTTGTCAGTTTCTTAAATGTTTTCCAAAGTTTTCTTTTTCAGACTTTACAGGGATCGACACTAACTTTAAAACCATAGTTGTCAGCAGGACTAGCCATTTCTATTTTCTACTAGCCCTGTTCTTGTATTAGTTGTCCAGCAGCTGAAGGCTGGTGGCCGAGTCTTGAAGCGACGAGGGGGGTAAGTGCAGGAGGGGCTTTCCCCCTCCTGCTGGTGGGGGCGCGGGGGGCCTCCCCGTGAAATTTTGAAAATAGAGATGCCAAATCCGGCATTCTGACTGTACTATGGGTAAAAATTACATTTCACTCTAAGATTGTACTTTAGACATTTTTCTATTGGAAAAAGTCCACTTTTATAATCATTTAGGGTATTTCGAATCACCTTTAAAGTTTACATTTTGACATACAAAAATAATAATTATGATGATAAAACATGTTTGAAAATAGATTTAATAATTATTGGATACATTGTGTGTAATTGATAATTATTTTTGTTGCTCTGAGTGAGTATTTGGTAAAATTCTTAGTAGCCCTACAGGGCAAGTTTAAAGGCATGTTTAGTAGTCCGACCTCATTATTAGGTTGTCCTGGACCAGCGGGCTACCGTTAGTGTTGAACCCTGAAACTTTATATTCATTTCAATTTCTTTGTAGGTAGGATGTAATTTCTCATGTAGTGCATTTAATTCGTTTTCGAAATCCCTTAGTTTTTGCAGAAAATCTGATAAATCATGTCCTTTGTGTTTTTTAGAAGAGATGCAGGTAGAACAGACAGGAATGTCACATTTCTCACAGTAGAGTTCACAGTGTTTCTGGGTATGGCTTGGGCATTTTGGGTTGTTGGGAAAAGAAGTTCTGTGTTTGTATGGTACAACATTGTGTCTTTTGGATGAATCAGAGAGATGTTCTCCAACACAGGCCTTGCACAGATTAATCTGACAAAGTTCACAATGACTCTGTAGTGGAATTTTTTGACAAAAGTCACATAGGAGGACTTCTTGTGCACTGTGTCTAGGGTCCATAACCAGTGTCTTTATTTCATTTCCAAGCAATGCTATAACAGAAATGATAAAGTGGTGAAAATTAATACAATATAGTAGAGGTGATATAGCAAAATTTTGAGGATCTCTTTTAACTGACTTCACTTTCTGTAAAAATCAAGGCTAGCATATCTTATTTACATCAGATTTATAGTTTATAAAGTCTGGCTGAAAAATACTGTATATAAGGAAATTTTCGCCCCCATTTTATTTTCGTCCCTTTCGCCCTCACCTGCGTTGGGCGAATTTAAAAAGGGGAGAATATGAAAAATACAGTATAATTTCTTAAAGAAAGCTGTGACTGGGCAAATTTAAAATGGGGCAAAATTGTTTGCAAGGCTGAATGGGCGAAAATACAGTGGGGTGAAAACAACCCTGTATACAGTATCATTGATGTAACAATATTACATTATGAACCTATTAAAGTTTTCTCGTTTATTTAATTTCACAAATTCTGACATATGAAAAATAATGTCAGTTCAATATAATAATGTTAAGATCCTAAAATTTGTTATGCTAGTAATAGTTATATATAAAATTACAAAAACTGTAACATCTCTACATCAAAGTTTTTAGCTCACCTGAGCCAAAGGCACAGATGAGCTTTTCTGATAAAAATTTGTCCGTTGTCTGTCCTTGTCGTCCTTGTTAAGTTGTTGTTGTTGTTCACTTTTCACATTTTCATCTTCATCTCAAGAACCTTTGGGCCAATTTCAACCAAACTTGCCATAAAGTATTCTTGGGTAAAGGGGATTCAAGTTTGTTCAAATGAAGGGCTACACCCTCTTTCAAGGTGAGATAATTATCAATTAGTTAATTAGAAAAATCAATGGCATCTTTTTAAAATCTTCTTCTCAAGAACCACTGGCCAGGAAAGATGATACTCATGTGGAAGCATCCTTAGGTAATGTAGATTCAAGTTTGTTCAAATCATGACCCCCGGGGGAAGGGTGGGACCAAAATTGGGTATTAAAGTTCAACACTGGAATACATAGGAAAAAAACTTTAAGAATCATCTCAAGAAAAGCAAACCCAATTGGTTTGTCATAGTTATATGGAAGCATCCTCTGGTAGTATAGCTTCAAGTTTGTTTAAATCATGACCCCTGGGGCAAGGGTGGGTCCTTAATGGGTGATCAAAGTTTAAAGAAGGATTACATAGAAAAAATCTTGTAAATTCTTCTTCTAGAGAACACCAAAGCTGTGATTGTTCACATTTATATGGAAGCATCCTTGGGTACTTTAGAGTCAGATTTATTCAGATCATGGGGTAGAGTGGGGCCACAATGGGTGATCAAGGTTTTACGTATGAAACGGAATAGATAGGAAAAAAATCATTAAAGTTTTTCTTAAGAACAACAAAGTCATGATTGATAATCAATATAAAAGGTAAGAAAGATTTAAGTTTGTCCAAATCATGACCAACCAGGTAAATAGAGGGGCCATTAAAATGGTTCATAGTTATATAAAGAATATAAAGGCTACTGTATACAGGGTAATTTTCGCCCTTTTGCACTTGCAAACAATTTTGCCCAGTTTTAAATTCGCCCTGTGATAGTTCTGTTTAAAAAGTTATACTGTGTAATTTGAATTTGCCCCGTTTTAAATTCGCCCAAGCAAGAAGAGGGCAAAAGGGGCGAAAATAAAATGGGGGCAAAAATTTCCCTGCATACAGTATTTCAATAAAATTCTTCATCTTATAAACAGATAAACAGCAAAATCATTATGTATCATATAACCCGCTTTTATATTTAAACTTTTCAATACTGAACTGTTTTTTTTTTTTGCTTTTACCTAGCTAGTTGCTCAGGTGAGCAATGTGGCCCCTGGGCCTCTTGTTTCATTTTAGCCATGTAATTTCACAAAGATTTTTTAAAGAATTATGCCAGGCATTTTATCCTAAATTTGCCTTAACTTCAGTGAATTTTATTCTTAGAAAGTACTACAAATAATTTATTACAAAATACAGTGGACCCTCATTTATCTGGACGCTTTGGTTCTCAGTCAATTTGTCCGGATATGTGAAGCATCCGGATATGTGAATCACCAGTTAAACAAGACAATGTAACATTTAAAAATTTCGTTCCAATGAAAAATCGTCCGGACACTGAAGCATCCGGATATCTGGCGTCCGGATATCTGAAGGTCCACTGTATATATTTAAAAATGGATTAAAATGAAAGTGTTTTTTTTTTTTTTTTTTTTTTTATAAAATTGAATGCAGCAAAAGGATTACCCATGTTTCCCCCATTTGTCTAAGTCACAATCAGCAATTCAAATGGTGCAAATTCAAGGAAGACATATTTATACTGTAAATCAATCTATTTTGGCATATAGGATATTTTGCAGAAATTGATTTTTAAAGAAGTTTAAGCTTAGATTTGAATAAGGACTGTTTGAAATGTGCTTTATATAAATATAGACATGTATTCACAAAAAATTAGCTGTTTTCCACAAAAGGTGGTAAATAGGAAACATGACCTATGTAATAATTACACGTAAAAATGTTAATGATTCAAAATGAGACTTCTAAATGCTCTTGCTGACCCCACATCCAGTGTCTTTCCAAAATGTACATGATATACTATTCCTCCTTAGTTTTAAATGAAAGTTTCTAATGAAGTTTTTCTCCAGCACTGTTAGAGGATATGTTGCTAAACAATATACGGTACAAAATGAAAAAGAAAATATGTTACCTGTAAATCCAACATGGCCTCCTATTAAACAACTAAAGTGTAATATCCAGACAATTTACTTCCTAGTCTAAATTTCTACCTGCTGGTTTGTCATGTGATAACTACGTTTCATTTTTGGGTAGGAAATATAATCTTGCATTGATTCTAACTGCTGTTGACTGTGATTAAAATTTACATAACTTAAAGGTGCAGTAGAAACACTTGCATTGCTATTTTTATACCCCCTGCAAACGAAGGTTGGGGGATGGGGTGGGGTGGCATATAGAAATCATTTTGTGTGTCTGTCTGTGCAAACATGTCCAGTTCCTATATCCTTCTTATGGATAAACTTGGTGACTTTCTATTTTACGCAAAGATTGCTTATGCCCTAAGGGTGTGACATGACCATGATCCAAGGTCGTTTGTGCAAGTTAACTTTAGTTAAGGGTCACTAAAAGAAAAAGTTTAAAAATTGTGTCCTGTTCAAATCTTTCTTATAAATGCAAAATCTTGAATCTACTATCTCATACAAATAATGATTAAGACCTTGGGATGTGTCATGACCTTAACCCAGGGCCATTTGTGCAAGTTCAAAGACAATGAAAGAAAAAGTTCATGATTTGTGTTTGGTACATATCTTTCTTATGGATCAACTTGGTGGGTTCCTATTTTATAAAAAGATTGCTTATGACCTGAGGTTGTGACATGACTTTGATCCAAGGTTATTTCTGCAATATCAAAATCACTGAAAGGAAAGGTTCATAATTCATGTCTGGTCCATATCTTTCTTATGGATGAATTTCCTGAGTTCCCATTTTATACAAAGATTGTTTATGACCTGAGGTGTGTCATAACTTTGACCCAAGGTCATTTGTACAAGTTTAAGGTCACTGAAAAAAAGGTTTATAAGTCATGTTTGGTCCATTTCATTAGAATTGGTGTTTTATTAAGCTATGCCTTAGTTTCATTTATCAAAAACCGGTAAATTTTCACTCAAAATGTTAAAAAAAAATTGTCAATACCAATACTAGTGTTAGTGATTCAGCACCTTTTCTGAAAAACCTAGTGGGCAGTAATAGTTCACTTTGGACAGTTCTAGTTTTAAGCTCACCTGAGCGGAAGGCTCAAGTGAGCTTTTCTGATAAGAATTTGTTGGTTTCTGTGGTTGTTGTTGGTGTGTTTGTCGTCTTCATTGTCATAAACTTTTCACATTTTCATCTTCTCAAGAAACACTGGGCCAATTTCAACCAAACTTGCTACAAAGTATCCTTTGATGAAGGGGATTCAAGTTTATTTGAATGAAGAGCCATGCCCTCTTCCAAGGGGAAATAATTTTGAATAAGTGGTAAATAAATGGTATTTTTTAAAAATCTTTTTCTCAAGAACCAGTGGGCCAGGAAAAATGAAACTCACGGAAACATCCTTAGGTAGTGTAGATCTAAGTTTATTAATGTCTTGACCCTCTGGGGTAGGGTGGGGGCACAGTGGGGTATCAAAGTTTAACATGGGAATACATAGGAAAAATCATTAAAAATCTTCTTCATAAGAATCACTGGGCCAGGAAAAATGAAACTCGTGTACCGGGTAGAAGCATCCTTTGAAAGTGTAGTTTAAAGTTTTTACAAATCATGACCCTTGAAGGGTAGGATGCAGCCATTAATATGATAATAGGATATCAAATAACGTAGGAATAACTAGGAAAAATCTTTAATTTTCTCAAGAACTTTGAATCCATGATTGGTCATAGATATATGAAAGCTTCCTCTGGTGGTGTAGATTCAAGTTTGATCAAATCAATACCCTTGAGGGGGTTGGAACAATGGTGGTGGACATGAATTCTTGGGTCTCTTCATACCTCGAAAAAACAATGAAAATAAAGCCACCATGAAAATTTGTTATTTTACAGTAAACAGCAAAGCCAATATCTACATTCTGTTCAAGAAGATCCATGCATTTCTTTGTGAGAAGTGGTCTTTTTATATAGGATAAAAAAAAACTTTTTTTAGCATTCATCACAATCTGTTTGGAACTCTCTTATATGACTGAAAATTTGATCTTGATATTGTAAAAAAAATGAAGCAACATTAAGATTTGCAGTTGAATTCATTTTTTAACATTAGATTATTATTCAATCAAAACTTTTACCGCATACATGTATATTATACATGGTATAGGTAAATATTTACAAAACCATGCTTTGGGGCCATAAAACTTAGACGATTTCACTTTTGATCTCAGTCTCACTTTTAATACAGGAATTTATAGTGGAAAAATGAGACTGAGATCAAAAGTGAGCTTGTCTAGGTTTAATGGCCCTCAGGCCATGTGTGTATGTTGAGACTTATGTTTGAAATCAATCATAAAATTTTAAGTCAGGAAATTAGAACGGTATATTTGTAAGTGACATAGAAAAATCTTAATTGGTCATGTTTTTGTAGAATGACTGTATGGTATCATTTTAAAACATCAAACGGGATATAAATACAGGTTGGTACAAGATGAAATTTACCATATATAGCGCTTTGGGCTTTATGTTCTTTGATCTCTTGACCAACCCATATTTATATAAAATCTCCTGAAGAACACTAGCAGAACAAATTAAAGGTGAATTTTGTGGCTCATGGGCTCTTGTTTGTTCATTTCTATGTTCACATTTTGATTATATTTGGAAGTAATAAAGTAATAACAAAATACATTACACCATGAAATATATAGTAATACTCTATATGTTTTTTTATGCACAGAGTTGGAGAAGGTTCTCACAATACCCTGGACAGTAAAACCCCCCACCATGTACACGAGAACATCAGTCTGGATCTGACTGTCAATGGAGGAGCACCTGAACTAAGTATGTACTGTGAAATCAAAGAATTAATGCCATGTAAGTTTTAACTAGCTACAAACTAAACTGTGAAACTCTCATAAGTAGAAGTATTCAGTATTTAAACATACAATTATTAAGAACTTGCATGTGTTTCAAAGATGAAGTTAAGTTTTCAAAGGTTACTGTTTATCATGTTTTATGTTGGGGAGATTTTTATTTTTGCACATCTATATGAGGTTTTCTTAACATAAAAAAGAGCTAACAAAGATAAATAAATTCATGGTATAACGATTGTGAAAATGGTAATGTGATAGATAATATGATGATTTAATAACTGTATTGCTTAGATTATACAGAATTTAAAATCTTGATTTTTCTTACAAAGTTACAGATATCTCAGCTGATTTTGAGCACAATAAGGACACAAAGCTTCAGTTCCAGCAGTTCTATGGAATGTTTGTCAAAAGGGCCCTGCACACACTCAGAAACAAGCTTGTCTCAGCCACCCAGATTCTTATTCCTCTTTTCTACACAATCATGGCTCTCATTGTCGTCAAAACATTCCCAGGACCCCATGATTCTAAGGCCCTCACCTTAGCGGTGGAAAAGTATGGAGAAAATACTATTGTTTATGGTGACAATGGATTTGGAAACCAGTCTACGATTGGCCAGTTCTATGCCAATCAATTTCAAAGCAGTAAAGATCATGTGACTTATGTCAACAGTGAAGAGGGAAATGTAAATAATTCAGATATAAATAATTATTTGTTCCAGAAAGGCATCGACAGCCTTGGACTTTATAATCTGGAGTATGCAGTCGGAGCAGACTTTATCAAAGATAGTAATTCAGTTTCAGCCATTGCCTACTTCAACAACCAGGGTTACCATGCTCCAGCCATTTCCCTAGCAACACTAGCAAATGCACTCCTGCAGTATGTAACAAACAACTCACAGTCTACCTTGACCACTGTAAACCATCCCTTGCCCAGGACAGAGGAACAAAAAATTCGAGAAGAGACCGAGGGGAGTACCACAGGGTTCACCATTGCCTTTAATTTTGTGTTCGGGATGGCTTTCCTGTCCAGCAGTTTTGTTTTGTTCCTGATCAAGGAGAGAGCCACCAAAGCCAAACACATTCAGTTTGTCAGTGGTGTCCAGCCCTTCACGTTCTGGGTCTCCACCTTCTGCTGGGATATGATCAACTACATGATCCCATGCTGCATACTGCTGTTTGTGCTCTGGGCTTTTGGAATTGAGGCCTACTACATTGATGCTCATGCTGCACACATTCTGCTGCTGATGTTCCTGCATGGCTGGGCCATGCTGCCTTTTATGTACCTTCTGTCTTTCATTTTTACAGTGCCATCTAGTGGGTTTGTCTGGTTGACCATGTTCAATATCTTGGCTGGTAAGTTTTATACAATTTTGCCCCATGTTATATTCACCAAGTCAAAGTTCTATAATAAGAAATTTTACTGATTTTGAAATCATCCCATTTTTACTTGCCTACCTATTAGTGGGACATAGGGAGCAAAAGTAAAATGGGGACAAATATTTTACTGTATGCAGTGATATGGAAGTTTGAAATGATTTCATTTAGTTTCATTGACAAATTGTACAGAAAGGAAAAATCATTTATAAGCTTTTGGATATTATAGGATACTGGTATATTGCCATTTTTTATAAACAAATCTGACTGAACTATTTGTTCCTTTTTCCAGGTGATGCCACAGTGTTAGCTGTAGGGATCTTGGGGATCCCCCAGCTTGGCCTCAAGGATTTATCTAACGTCCTGGAGTGGATATTTTTAGTTTTCCTACCAAACTTCTGTCTGGGACAAGGTTTAATGGACTACTACTCTAACTGGGAATTCCTGGATAGCTGTCAGGAATTCAAACTGCTCTGTCCTTATCTTCCTAATCCTTGCTGTGGACGTAAGTTTAGGAAGAGACAAGAACTAGAAAGAGATAACAATTCAGTATGATAAAATTGATTATGACTTTGTACAAGATTAGACTGTGGTTTACTTGTTTTCATCAAGTATTTTCTTTTTATAAAACCCAATTTGAAATTTGCCTATAATGTATGTTTTAATAAACCACAGCATGAAATAGGAGTTAAAATTTTCAGTGAAAATTAGAAATATTTTGTGTGTAAGTTGCTTTTTATTCAAGTTTTCAATTCTCTTACATGTCTCTATTTGGTATTTACATTGTATTTTATTCCAGCAATCAATGGGCAGTGTGGAGAGCTAGGGTGTGTGTACTATAACCGGGATTACCTGGGATGGGAGAAGAACGGAATCGGCAGAATGTTAGTTTTCTTGTCAATACAGGGAGTGATGTACTTCACCATCCTGCTCTTTGTCGAATCAAATCTGTTCAAGACAATCATTTACTCCCTCAAGTCAAGCAAGGCTGAGGATAGCTCGGACATTTCATATTCTGAGACGACCCCTCTACTGGAAGGAGAACGAAGGTTTTTAGCACATCAGCCAAGACAAGTTCGAAGATCAATGATTCAGGAAGATTCCGATGTAGCAGATGAAAGAGAGAGGCTGGCTAAGTCACATTTACTGACCGATTCCTTGATTCTGAAGGAGGTGACTAAATCCTATGGAAGCCATGTTGCTGTCAATCATATCAGTGTAGGAATACCACAAGGGGAGTGCTTCGGTCTGTTAGGAGTGAATGGAGCTGGGAAAACTACTACATTTAAGACTTTGACTGGAGATGAGATCATGACATCAGGAGAAGCCTATCTTAATGGTCACAATGTCAAGTCGGAACTTGCAATGGTAATTTAATCACAATAACTTTTAGAAGATATAAAAAAAAACCATCTTATACTCTTTTAGTATAAATTAAACTAAAAGTTTAATGTTTAAGTTTAGAGGAAAAAGACTTAAAATACATTTCAGCAGTAGCTATCTTTCAATTTATATCAACAAAAATACTGTAAGTACAAATTTCTTACTTACAGGTACGACAAAACTTAGGTTACTGTCCACAGTATGATGCCCTTATTGACCAGATGACGGGTAGAGAGACATTGTTTATGTTTGCCAGACTCCGGGGGGTCAGGGAGGAGAAGATACCAGCCATTGTGGAGGGACTCATGTCAGCCCTGCTGTTCCAAGAACATGCTGATAAAATGGTCAAGGCTTACAGGTGTGGATCTAAAATCTATTGAATAAATTTTACATGCATTATATGAGATATACATGTATTTTTCATTTGTTGGGAGTCAATATTTTTTGGCAATCTGAACTGTACTGGTTCCTTGAACAGGATTTTTAATAAGTACACAGAAGGTTTAATGAACTGATAGATTATAACAGTTATCATCTGTAGAGATGTAAATTGGTTGGTTCTCCTTGAACTCTTCAATACGTTATGGAATGTCCATTTAACAAACAATTCAACATTATTTTATGTGTTTAGTGGAGGAAACAAGAGGAAGTTAAGTACTGCATTGGCTCTAGTGGGGAATCCCCAGGTGATATTTTTAGATGAACCCACAACTGGCATGGACCCTGTTGCTAGACGATACCTGTGGAATGCATTAATAAAAGTCAGGGATTCTGGCAGAACATTGATTCTTACATCCCATAGGTAAGAGAAAAGATAAAAATGGTAAAAAATTTAGAGAATAAATTGGTATTTAACTGGTAATTAAATTAAAAATTTAAAGGCACATTACATACAAAATTTTTAAAAAATCAAAATGTTATGTGTATCGTTAAGAGGCAAGGCTGAAAATGTTGCATATGTTCATACTGTATACCTGGTACCTCGTATTTTTAGCCTTTTCTATCAATACATGAACAGTGAAAAGAATTTAAGTATTAAAGGTTGCTAATGCATTCATATTTTTTGTACAAAATGTTTCAAAAGTCTGAGAATCCATTCTATAACAATTCTGATTTCAGTATGGAGGAATGTGAGGCCTTGTGCACCAGGTTAGCCATCATGGTCAACGGAGAATTCCGATGTTTGGGAAGCACCCAGTATCTAAAGAACAAATTTGGGGAGGGATACACCTTACTGGCTCGCATTGCGTTCACAGAATCAGGGGACGCCCCAGATCTCCAGCCATTCATGAACTTTGTGGAACGTAAATTCCCAGGAAGTGAACTGAAAGACATGCATCAAGGCATGGTGAATTACCATATAACCAGAAATTCAGGTCTCACTCTTGGGGCAATTTTTGGAATTTTAGAGAGTTCCAAATCGGAATTCCATATAGAAGATTATTCTGTTAGCCAAACCACCTTAGAACAAGTTTTTATTAATTTTGCCCGCTCTCAGGTTCCGCCAAGGGAGGTAACTCATGGCTGCTGTAATGGTTTGTGTTCCTGCTTCTGCCGCAAAACTCATACACATGACGAGTAATTTAAGAAAAAAAATTAAATGAAAAGATACATTTTACTCTTACAAAATCTACAATATTTTAAAAGACATATCATTTTTTTTAAACATTCCATTTTTATTCTTCTTTGTTCTCTTATAGTGCAATATTTGTTGGAAATAATATTTTATGTTGGATATGTACTGTTTTTTTCCCTTGTTGCTTATTAAATAGGTACATGTATTATTATTTAATGATTACTGTCTACAAACTTACAAAGTAAAAGTTTCTTTTAATTTTTTGTTATATATCCTCAAATTATCATCTATATGATAAGGAATATTACAAATGTATACCAGATTACAAGTATATGGTAAGATTTATCAACCTTTTTAAAATATAAAATACTCCTAATGATTTACTCCCACTGAATGGAGAAAATTCATGTACATGTTGTACTTACCTTCAAACGTATTTTAGAAAAGATGAAAGAAAGTTTGTGAAAACAGTTTAATGCAAATTTTATATTTTAAAGATTTTTATCAATGTTAAAATAATATACAAATTATATTTTAATAATATTCATATGTTTGTATCAGGTATGTTCAAAACGACACTCCCAAACATGATTTTTATCCTCAGGAATACATAAATTATACATGTACAGGGTTCTACATATTATATTTATGTATGCAGTAAGTGATAGCTGGACCATGATTTTGAGATTTGTCCATTGATCAATTTCATTGCAAATGTCAAGATTCTTAAAATTTTGCATTTCAATACAAGTATTAGATTTATAAAGACTAAATAATATCGACTGGAATATTTATTTGTTTGTGAAAATAAAAATTTGACATATATTGCAGATTTCAAATTATTTTTTCCCCGTTGTTGACAAACTTTTTGTTGAACTTAACTTTTTTATGAACTATGAACTAGAACCTAGAGTGTTGACAAATGACAATTAATAAATGGACTGTGATTTACACTGTGATATGATGAAAAAATAAAGTTAACTTTATGTATATACTTGAGCTTTCATTTTATTATGATGCATGTGTGTTTTCCTTATTGTTCAATATTGGATAAGGCAGATGTTTCAAAATTTTGGGAAACTAAATGACCCACAAGTTGACCTGCAGTTAATGTTAATCAAATAACTCCATTGATTAGCCTTTTCATGTAATACTGAGCATGGCTGCTCTCTGAACATTTCAATTTCTAATGCAGAACACTTTCACCTAAAGAATTAAATACACACAGTAATCAGGACACTACAGAGTCAAATATAACATTTTAAAACCAAATAATTTTTAAATAAATTGAAACAAACATTGAAATTTTAACATCATAATGTTTATCTCTTCATTTCTGCTCAACAATACTGCCTTACAACTTGTTTCAATCAATACTCCATTAAACACAGGATGAATTCTTGGCTATTTTCTGTTTGACCAAAATAATAAAAACTAATTTGCTGAACATGTACAGTTTATTCTGAATCAATGAATCTAATTTCAAAGAATTGCAATGGAAAAATATGGAGCTATAGTTCAGTGTTTGTACTTCTTAATAATTACACATTTTCTACCAAATTGGGGCAAAGAAAAATTCATCAAAGTGACAATTAACATGTACTGGGTACTTTAGATACCAAAATACAGGTAATATTAGAAAATTGCCAAAATATATGGATTTTTTAAAAAATTTTATTTGCTCTAGTTCTGACTTTAAGGGAGATAAAATTTTAAAACTAAGTTTTGGTAATTTGCCCTGTGCAATTTATGGAATGTACAATATACATGTAGCTAAAACGATTTTTCAGTAACGGACAATAAATACAGTATGGCACCAATTTTATTAAAAGACCTCTATATTTATATACCAAAAGCTGCTACAAACATATCAATACAAGTATATTGTAAAAAAAGAAGTTTAACAAGTGCTAGCACTACTTGAAACAAGGAATGGCATGAATTTATTCAAATTTTAAATACAAAATTTAACTTCTACTCATACTATACAAAATATTTCTCTGAAAAAAAAAAAATCATGCAATATTTCAAAACTTGAATGTTATTTTAAATATATAAAACTGTTCCAAAATGTTTTGGCAGTTCCTTTTCGATTGCAAATCATTAATGAACAAGAAATTTTCATTTAACTGAGTTGTTTTTCATTGAGCTCTTACACTGCTGCATGTCAACAATATCAGCTGTTACGACAAGGATGAATAATAGAGCTGTATAAAAAAATCACCAAGTCATTCAGCAGTGTAAAATCACCGAATGACAATTTATTTATAGAGCACTTTTTTCCGTTGGCTGGGATCCTGCGATTTTTCAGTACCGGGTTCACGGGAGGTCTCTGTCAATCTGAATTAATCGATCCACCACTTTCTGAATGGCGTGTAAGGTTGGTGATCCCTCGTAGTGTTCTATGTAACTTTTACCTTCGTCAGAACATTTTGAGAGCTCAGGGTCCAAGGGGATACAACCTACATGTATTAAGAATTTAAGTTAAAAAGATACTTAACATTCACTGTATTATTCCATAAACCAGAAGTCTCTGTCGAGACTGTAGCTCTACTGGTTTGAACTTATAACAAAGGATGAGAAAAGAAGCCATTGCCATCAGACCAAAACTGGAGGAGGAGTAGCTTTTAAAGGAATTTCACAGAAAATTCTATTTTTAGTAACCATGGCAACACTGTTCATCAAAATAAAAAACCGATGCACTATTTTATGTACCTTAGTGTAGTCTACTTGTGTGCCAAGTAATATTGAAATCAGACAAAAACTGTAGAAGGAGTAGTGTTTTAAAGGAATTTCACAGAAAATTCTATTTTTAGTAACCATGGCAACACAGTTCATCAAATTCGAAAACCGATGCACTATTTTATGTATCTTTGTGTAGTGTACTTGTGTGCCAAGTTATATTGAAATGAGATCAAAACTGTAGGAGGTGTGGCGTTTTACAGGAATTTCACAGAAATTTCTATTTCTAGTAACCTTATGGCAACACCGTTCATCGAAGTGAAAAACCGATGCATTATTTTATGTATCTTAGTGTAGTCTACTTGTGTGCCATGTTATATTGAAATCAAACCAAAACTGTAGGAGGAGTAGCGTTTTGAAAAATTGTTTAAAGACAGACGGACGGACAACGGACACTTTACTATCGCATAAGCTCTTCTGATCTCTGACCAGTAGAGCTAAAAATTACAGAAAGGACAAAAATATTCAAAATTATGTTATTAAGATGTTTTATACTTACTTAAAGACAAAAAATATTTTAAACATTGTTTTTAAGACATGCTTTATACTTACTTAACCTAGAATTAAATTTGAAAAATACAAAAAAGAACTTTATTCGGTAATAAACAATATTTGCCCCCCAAATCAAACTTTGATGGAGATATATTTAATTAAGTTCTTAAACAGGGGAGTATATGCTGACTTCAAAGCACTGAATATTTTCATAAGTAATGACGCCATATGTACGTAATGACGTCACAAACAGGACGTAAATTTCAGTTTTTTATGAATTTTACAGAAAAATGTACATATTTTGTCGATATTTTGAGTAAAAGTCACCGAGCGCATGTGTGTTAAGGATCAATATTTTGATATAATGTGTAGAATGATAATATCAATGAAATATGTCAATATTGTTCCTGAACAAACTTGCGCTCTATAAATTTTAAAGCTAAAATTGTTGAAATTTTGTCCATTTTGTCCTCTTTCTGAAAAGGGATATAAAATCGGACTAGTTTGTGACGTCATAAAAACAATAATTGTGATTATTATACTTCTGTTAAAATGTTTCCTTTATAATGTTCAGAAGGTAAAATAACTATCCTTTATAGTTCACGCATGGCAAAGCTATACCCAGGGGTATAGTTTTTGCTATCCACCCTCGGAAAATTATCATGCAATTGTTGCCGCCAATTTTGATTTCCAGCGATAAATCTTTAAACTGATGATGTCATAATGACTTCAGTAGCATTGTGACGTCATCAGGATTTCAGATTATTCTTGCAGAATTATCTAACTCAAAAAAAAAAAAAATTCAAACCTCAGAAATTATATTATACATCAGTATAATAAAACGCTTATCCACTGGTTATGAGTGGGATAGCTCTTTTATCAAACCCTTGACAGGAACTATTCCCCTCGGGGATTAGTTCCTTGTCGCGGGTTTGATAAAAGAGCTATCCCACTCATAACCAGTGGATAAGTGTATAATACACTGCCTTGACACTATAATATTTTCTGTTAATTTATATTTCTCATACAGTTTATTGAATTCAGCATATTTCAGGAAGTTTTCAAAATTTGACTTTTGTGGGGGCAAATATATGCAATATACCGCATATAGTTCTTTGATTTTCTATTTATAAGTCTCAAATTGAAGTTTTAAAATCATTAAATACAAACATGCAAGCCTTACCCAAAAATGGCACATGGTATTCTTTGGCCAGTGCTTGCCCTCCTCCTTTTGAAAACACATTGGTACATTCCTAGAAAAGAAGGTAATCATAACAATACTTACACTTCATTTCCTTTCAAACTTATATACTGTGTTTTACTTGCCTATAAGTTGCAGGCTTTTGTTAACTTTTTTGGGAAGAATTTGCCAATGATTCTTATACATGTACTTAAGTCAGTGCAGTTCATAACCAGAAACTATACACAATTTTAGATGAATCTTATATTGTATACACCTGTTTTTTATGCGCCCGGATCGATAGATCTGAGGCGTATATTGTTTTTGTCCTGTCTGTTGGTCTGTCTGTCTGTTGTCAACTTTAACCTTTGATTAAGTTCTTTCAAATGACACCAAGGTCAATGACCTTGACCTTGTGACCTTGACTTATCTGCTAAAAATATTTTATTGGACTTTGTTGCCGCCGGGCGCATAGTGTTTCACAAACACATCTTGTTAAAGTATTTTTTTGGTATGATATTGATAATTGATCCTCTATAAAAAAGTTTAAACAAATAAAGAACAACTTTAAAAGATTTTAAGCACTTGTGTTATATGCATAAAGCAATCTTGGATCTTCTTTACCTGCATTGGATTACCGGTAAATTTCAACCTTTATGAACAATTATCATTAGAATAGTTACAATATCATTAAATATATTTCAGAAAAAATACCAAATTTTATGGTGCTCACTTATGATTCGGACAAAGTTTTTAATACAAATTCACAATATCCAACTTATAGGCAAGTATATATATTGTATATATCTGTTGTTTAGAAAACTCCACTTACAGTACAGTTTGGACAGACAAATCCACTCATGTTCTCGATTATTCCTATCACAGGTATGTGGGTCTTTCTACAGAAAGTTATCTCCCTTTTCACATCTCCAACAGAAACAGCCTACAATGAACAAAATTTATCATAAGATCAATGATATCAATCTTCTTCATCTTTTATAAAACACTTGTGGCTTTTTTTAAACTTCTTGTCAAGTTCTTGGTGATTAGTAGAACTCTAGATCAACCTGTAGTGGCAACTGATGATTTCTACCTGTCTTGGTCCTTTTGGGTGGTGACTAAATAGCTAATGCTTTACCTGTGGGTGGTGACTATTTACCTGTGGGGCTTAAAGCTTTACCTGTGGGGTGGTGACAGTTTACCTGTGGGTTGTTGACTATTTACCTGTGGGGTGGTGACCAGTATTGCTCCATCAGGGTTGTATGTCTTCAGGTTCTCAATAGCACTAATATGTTCATCTGTTGTTCCCGGTGGTGTGTCGATGATTAAGTAATCTATATCCCGCCATACCACATCCCTCAGAAACTGTTTAATCATTGCTGTAATTAAAAAAGAAATAAAATGTCTTGAAATTTTATTATCTTAAAATTGCCAATACATATTCATGTTAAAATTGCCAATACATATTTATGTATATCTATCATAGCTTATCTGTTTTTATAAGCTTATTTAACAAAGTTATATCCCTCTGAATTTTCTGTTGAATAAAGCATGTTGCTCTGTCAACTGCAAGAAAAAAAAACATATCACCTTTGATTATAAAAAAAAATTTATATGGTATTAAACTAATTTATAAACTCTTTGAAAGAGAACTACCTGTTTTCTTTGGTCCTCTCCAAATGATGGCATCTTGAGCATTTTCAACCAAAAACCCTATTGACATCAAAGCAAGTTTTTGTTCTTTGTCAACAAAGACCGGAAGCCACCTGAATATAAATCAAATACATCACATTTATTTACCCCAGTAATTGTAATTGGCCTTCTTTCAATAAAAATTTGAATTCACAAGAATGCCAACCATTTACACAAATTTTGATACTGTTATTTATCTCTGTTTTATCACTAAAAGACTGCATAATATGTTTCAAACTGTCGCAAAAAAATTATTTTTTACAAAAAAAAAAAAGTGAAATTATTTTTCCGTTTCCTTACCCCTCCGTGCACTGATGGACATCTTGTTGATGGACATTGAACATACGGGGAATACTGGGGCCACACAGGTCAACATCAAGCAAACCAACCTATCACAGAAAAAAATACACATTCATCATGAAACATAGCTTTGAATTAATGATATACAATAAAACATGGCTTTGTGAAACCCTGGGGACTTGTGAATTTACTTCATTATATTCATGATTAGTTATATCCATATAACAAATTCATTAAAGTATAAAAAGCTATGCATTATTGTTATTGATAACGGTATAGTTCTCGCCTTCTTTCCAGCATGTCGGAGTCCTAAAGCTATTTGTGTGGCCACTGTACTTTTCCCAACTCCACCCTTCCCAGACAAAACCAGTATGACATGCCGAACTGCAGACAAGTGGTCAACAGCACTCTCTAGAATTCATTGATAAATCATTTATTTAATTATTTAATACGTTGGTGGAGAATCATTTACACTTATCATATCCATAAAAGATAAAGATTTAATAATAAAAAATAAAATCTTAGTTCAGTGAGACCTTTACAGTGCACTTGAAAAATATACAAAGCTTAGTTTTTAAACTTGTTGTTGTTGCTTTATGTACTGTAATATGTTTTCTTTGAAATGTAAAATACATATCTCAGTGCAAATATCATACATATAGCAGGGCTTAATAGCAAGAGCAGTGACACTCGCTAGTGCAAGTTCTTAAAGCAACACCCGTGAAAAGAAAAAGAAAAAAAGAAAATTTTATCCAAACAAATTTTGTCCTCAGTAACCTAAGTATCCATAATCCTTTGGATACTGCATCTCAGCATAAATTATGTTCTTGCAGTATTGGTACAAACACAACCAAAAAAATTCACTCACTTTAATTTGATGAATATTGCAGATAAATAGCTAGCTTAAATATTTTTTATCATAATGATATTTTTGGGCATTGGTTTGGTAATACAACTTACATCATACAAAGTTATGTGACATCAGAGTTTAGAAAGAAACAAAAACAAAAAACAACATCATGTGAATGGTTAGAAGAGACAGATAAAGATGCTGAGGGTGTCCTTCCATTATATAAAATAAACTTGTGCTTCCTTTAAATCATCTAAATTTCAATGAATAAATAAATAAAAAAATAATTTAAAAAACAAAGTCCTAAACTCAGTATTTTGGTCATCCCAAAACTAGGAAAAAATCTGCTTACTTTCATGGTTTAAGGAAGCAATACATTAAGAAGGGAAACGTTAAAATTTGGAGAAAATTTTCGTCCTTTTTTCAGAAATCTGAAGTTGATCTTTTATCATTTATCTGTTTATGTCGGCTAAGACCTGTTTCATATCGTAACATATATATTTTTGAAGAAATGTGAGAAATTTTTTTGCACTTGATCTTTATTTTTGCATGATACATAAAAAATATACCATATAGAAAGCACACTTTAGAAACATATACTCGAAGAAATAATAATGGTAACTCACCTGTCATGGGCGCAGACATTTTTGTCTTTATCAGGAAGACGCTTGCGTCAATGTGACGTAAGCGCTTTCATTTTCCAGCAACCAGGAACGGATGCTTTCTCGACAATGGAGCAGCTTATGTCGAAGTCGTCTCCTTATTTTTATCCCTTGTCACTGGGATTTACTGCTTTAGTTCTTGTTCTTTCAGTCATGTTTGCATATAAAAGGTTTCTGCAAAACAATGAACGCCCACAGTCTCTGAATGAAAGGAAGAAAAAGGACGAGAAATGTACACACACTCAACAGAAAACGCACACTGACCAGTCTCAAACGGATGATGCCTCCGAGGAAGTTGGAGGTAAAAATATTGTGTGTATATTCATGATTATGCAATGATAAAATTAATATTTTGAACATCAAGATCCAATTTCAAATTAGCAGTAATTATCACTTGTATGTATCATGTTTGTAGATTGTGATGCCCCTCTGCTTTCTTCAAACCTTCAGCCAGAGATAGACCCCCTGACTTACTGTGAACACATACAGAGTGAAGTGAAAAAGGCCAAACAAAGGGTGACTGCAAAAAAGTTCAACAAAGATCTCACGGAGGAACAGATCGAGGAAGAGAGAGAGGTTCAGAGGAAACAACTCCAGTCCATATTCGAGTTGATGCAGACTGAAAGCGACAGATTTGGCATCAGCAGTCTCGAAGATGTCCAAAGTCAGATGAAGCTCTATGCATAATTACTGTCTCTTGATCAATTTTGATCACCTTATTTCCCCAAATTTAATTGTATATTTTTTTGTTCTCCAAATAGTTTGCATTTCAGAATATTCCATTGAAAGAGAATTAATATGAATAAGAAAATTATTTTCGTTAGTTACCTGTAATTTTGTTTCAAGATGCAATTAAAGGTACATGTTATATTTCAAAATGTCAATAAATGGTACCTATATTTTTAAAAACAAGAGATCTTTTTTTAAAACAGAAGTGCATTTTTATCACATTCCATCACTAAACTGATATTGTCATACAGAACTTTTTTGTGAATACTTCATTATTAAGTTATTGTTGTATGTCATTAAGTGTTGTTCCTTTGTTTTTGATATTGTAATTTTTCTCTATTGAAAACATTATGTAAATGATTTCTTACATTCTCAATGTAAAATTATAGCTTTTTTGATGGTATACATTAATTGTAACTTTTAGACATTATGGTTCAATTAAAATTTTCAATTTTCTGCTTTTGATTTTAAAAAAAACTGATGATCTTTCTTTTAATGAATCTTTTTTTTTAAATTGATCATATTTTCGAAGAAAATAAGTTTTTTTAAGGAATTAAAAAAAAAATAATCTTTTTAATTAGTTTTCAGTCAGCAGCAAGTAATTTAAAGCCACAAAAAGTTTGTTCATTTGTGATTTTTATGTAATAAATGTACACACTACAAAGACAAATAAATCAATGTAGACAGGAGAAGAAGTATTGGAATTGTATTTTACCTTGTAGTCAGTGGTATTTTGAAATCTTTAATCTTGTAAATTTTTCTCAATCTTGATTTTAGTGAGAAAAGAATGATACCTACGTGCACATAATTTTTTTTTCTTCAGATAAGCCACAAGATAACGTTTAGAAAACTGATTATGTTATATTTCCATCCTAGTTTTCTATAGCTAAATGTTGAAAAGAATATAATACATGTACCTATATGCACATAATTTTTTTTTTCTTCAGATAAGCCACAAGATAATATTTACGAAACTGATTATGTTATATTTCCGTCCTAGTTTTATATAGCTCATTAATGATGTTATGTTTCAATATTTTGAATGAGTTATTTGAATAAATGTTTATATTGTTTTATTTCTACTTGCCTTTTCCTTGATTATTTTTCTTTGAAATTCAAACATTATTAATTTTCCACACTGAGACAAATCAAATAATAAGGAAAACAGATTTCAGTTTCAGAAGAGTCTTCAGGGGTTTTCCTACCATTTTTAAACTGGGTCCGGGGTCCGTAGAATTGGGAAAATTGACGCGAAAACTGTTCAAATTGGGAAAATTTTTAAAAGGACCAATTTTGTTATTTCCCCACATCAATGAAAATGAAGGGACCAAAAAGTGTCTGTGTTTAGTAAACAACTGTAGACAGATATAAAGAGTCGCACATCATTCAGCTATTGTTGGATGATAAAAAAAAATGCCCCCCAAAAAATTGCTATATATTTTGACTTATGTAAAAGAAAAATATTTAAATGGCCATAATATTTTTTAATTGGATAATGAAAAATTCCAGAAAAAAATTTTATTTAGTTTTATTGATTCTTGACTGAAGTAAGGAAAAAGGTTTAAGTGATTAATTGGATAAAGGTGATTTTCAGATTTTTTTGTTAATATATATTCCATTTGTGACTAAGAATAAGTGAACATAATTTTTTCTTGCTGTATATTAAAAAAATGCAGGAAAACTGTTTAGTTTTACTTTACATTCACAACTGGAGTAAAAGATTTATAAATTAAAAAATTAAACAATTTGTAAATAAAATTATGGAAATTAATTGTTATCTATATTGATTTCACTTTGTAGTAACATTAATTATAACAAATAAATGAAAATATAACTTTGAATAGACCTATGTTGGAAGATAGAGAAGTAGGATGACAGGTTTTTTGCGTTTAGGCAAATTAGTCAAACCCTTTCTATTTTTAGGTCATGCAAGGAAGTGCAGTAACTTTTGTGTAAGATCACTGACAACTTTCATGATAGGTGCAATCATTTTATGATCATTATAGGAATGAAACAAGTGATGTAATAACTAGTCACTTAGGCCATATAAAATTAATCTTTAGATTCTCATCCCCGCCCGCCCCTCTCAAAGTGTCTCGCCCTATGTGTTTTTTATTTTGATTTTTGGGTATTTTCACATGTATTTTTATTCAGTAAGAATTTGGGTCAAAGTTTAAGAATTATCTCCCGTCTGTATTAAAAGTCGCGTGTCGCTATTTATAGCAAAAACGCCATGTGAAGAATGGAGAAAAATCGGCAATAAAAGCAGTTTAAATGTGTAAGGAAAAGATAATTTGTCAGTATAGAGAAGGCAGAGAAGAAAAAATAGCATAAACACATATAGATACCATCACTGGCAGGAGCAAGTATGTAGAGAGATTGTAACTAAGTAAAAATAGACGAGGAAAATGACACCTGGTCAAGTTATATATATAACGATCTCCAGCTGTGTGACTTAGCTTTGAAATAAAAAAAAAATCTACAACATCTTAGACAGACTTAAGAGAAGGCCTAGATTTTTCAGTAGAATAATTATTAGAACATTTATATAGATTTTGCAAAATAAGAACTCAAGCATACACAATTTATTTGTATATCTCCACCTCATTTTGTTCAGGATGTGCCGTATAATGTGTACTTGATAATTTGTTAATTAACAATAAATATTTTACTTTTAAAGCAAAAATTTTCTTTAAATATTTAAAAGAATATGAAAAGAATTAAATCTATTCATATTTGCATTAAGGTAATAAAAAAAAATGTGTACGGGGCGTCCATTGTTTTGTTGATACTTAGGCCTATATATAAATTAACAATTATATAAAATAAAAAATAAAATCCGCCCACCCGCCCCAATTTTTTTGCAAATTAGGATGAGAATCTAAAGATTAATTTTACCTGGCCTTAACATCGTAGGTGATTTACCAAATGTGTTGCATCACTTATATTTATAGCTTGATGATACGATCACACGTTGAAACCTGTAGAGATTTTCAGACGTTTCGCTGGGAAACAAAATTAATATCTTACTTCTTTCTGAACTTTCTTAAATTTTTGTCAAGGATACAAAAATTGGGAAAAAAAGATTCAGAATTGGGAAAATATGGCTGATTTTTTGATTGGGAATGGGTCCGGTAAACGGACCCAAAAACAAGCCAGGAAAACCCCTGGACTCTTCAACATGAATTATTTGTCATTAGGATGCTAGATGATGTTTGATGCTTGATATGCATTAATAAGTGCGAACGCTTGTTTACAAGCAATTATGCAACATAAATTTATACAGTTTATAGCTTTTATTAAATAATTAATTCACAATTATTTCCAATGGATGACAAAAATCAATAGTGGAAGAGTTTTAATGAATTGGACATTGCACAGAGAATGTGATTGCCTTTGTGTTCCAACATATTTTATTGTCATGATATTCATTCAAGGAATTATTATACCAATGTCTCACACGGTTTGGGTAGGTTTTTAGTTAACTGAGCCCGATCCGTATATCAAGACAATTCTTTTTGTCAATTAGACTATCCTTGCAATCAGGTTTGTCCTTGATCTAGAAATAGAGGCGAAGAGTGGGAAATATAAATGTTATGTCTTTATTAGCGCAATCATAGAATGGATCCTTAAATTAAAGTAACACGGTCAAGTTGAAATAAATATATACATAAAAACATTAATGATGACCGGATGTGACAGTAAAAACAGCAACTTTCACAATAAAACAATGTACAAATTATTTGACATTTTAGACATAAAAAAAATGAAATATCAATTAATTCAGCTAGGAATAGAGAGATAATTATTTACATATCGCTAACAAATTTTGAACTCTTACAAAGTTTTAAGAATAGAATTTTTGCTCGTCATTATGCACTTCTCAAAACGATTTACATATTTAAGAATTACAAAAATTCTTTCTCCCTACATAGAAGAGTTGTACTTGTTGATACGTCTTATTTCCCTTTAGCTAACTATATTTAAAATTGTCAAAATAATTAAACAAGATATAAATGCAATAAGCGTATTTACAAAACCCATAATTAATTTTTTTTCAGTGTACTAATTCAAATCTTAATTAATTCCAACATACATTAAATTCATATAAAAGAAAAATGAAAGTAAATAATTAAAATACAAGTACATACCTAGAAATAGAGGCGAAGAGTGGGAAATATAAATGTTATGTCTTTATTAGCGCAATCATAGAATGGATGCGCATTTCCCAACTCTTGCCCAATTTAAAGAAATAGGTTTTGAAAACGAACCAATCAAAAATTAAACTGAAGATTTTAAGATAACAATTAGTGAAAAGGCAATTAACGAGTAATGATAATTAAATGACAGTTATAAACAATTTGAAGCGAAAACAACTCAACATGAGAAAACAAGGTACTCGCTTATGACATCTTGGAACTGATTAATTAATTGGATTACATCTGTCTGACAGTGAGAAAAAATAATTACATGTACATCAAAGATTAAAAAAAATAATCAAATACAATTAGACTCAGATGTCACAATTTAAAAAAATAACTTTGAACCATGAAGTAAACAAAATATTAAATATTTATACAACAATCAGAAACTATTGAATTAAGGAAAATACGTGACACATATCTTAAAATGTAAAATATAATTATTAAATAATAATATTAACGCGTTGATAGCGGCTTTATATGCGACTGAATGAATTTATACAAAAATGTAAAAACAGTCAAAATCTAAGTGTGACATACCCCCATGGCCCCAATAGCTTTGGGCCCTCAAAGCTTTGTATGAGACTGAATGATGAAAATTTGGACTTGAACGTTGTCATATAGGGCAAGCATAAAATATATCTCGCTATGTAACATCATGTAAATGTGGATCTAGAACATTTGAGATACTGTACTCTGTTATAAGCATTAGGGATTCTATATGTATAGGAGTATCCAGATTGGGTAACGCAATATTGACCACGACAATAGTTTCGTTTGTTTCACCATTCAACCCAATTACATATAGATGCATCTGGTAACACAGTAGCACATCAGAAGAACACAAGGTATGCATGAAAGAACTGGTCGACAATTACTGATAAGCATTAGGAAGATCAAATTCTCTGCATAGCATTCCTCTTAAAGATGTTGAGGTGAACACCATGAAAAAAAAAATATGCAAGTCGTAAGTAAAAAGTAATGATCAAAACATTATGTGAAGGTTTTCCTACAGATCCGAAATAAACCTAAATGGAGTTATGAGATATAGCACAGTCGAT